CTTGCTACAACTCCTCTCTTACTAGTGCCTGGCCTTTGCTGGGTCACGATGGCCTAAAGCGTGAAGAATACCTGACAGGGCTTCACATCCATCCAGGCACCTATCATTCCCCAAAGCACCACACAAAACTTTTCCCCTTATGTCACGGCCTCAGCACTCAGAGGATCAGCGATGTCAACACCACTCATCAGTTTTGCCACCTGCTCTTTCCCAGCTGTCCTGGAGCTTTCTGGGGGGTGCAAGTAGGCGCTTGTATATCTTTCTTTACCTTTCCAACAGAACTTTTAACCTTTGTAGATCTCCCCCACAAGATTGCTGAGATTCACAGTTGGCTCCATCTTGACACTCTCCTGCTCTTAAGTGTTATAGATAAGTATCTATGAAAAACTTCCAAAATGCTGGGCTGCTTTTTTTCCAGCATTTTTTTCCTCTTCTCACCTTCTTCTCATGTCCTCCAGGCATGTTCTTAAGGTCACCCTTGGATGTCCAGAACAGAGAGAAAGCTGTCTCTCTGGCAGGCTTCAGCCTGGGCTCCAGAAGAAAAGACTTATGGTTTCTGCTGCCTGGCAGAATTGAAACTAAGGCTTGAGATCATGGGTGAGAGAGAAAAACCTCCTCTGTCAGGAACAGCCTGCAATCTTTAAGACTTTTCTCCTTTTCTAGGGCTTTTCTCCATAAGAACTCTCCGGCTGGCTTCTTCAAGGGTCTTTCCTCACAGGGATGTAGCTTGGTTCCCTCCTTGGGTTTTTTCTTTTGGAGAGAATCAGGTCTGTTGGATATCTTGTGGCATATAGATGCTTCACTCCACTGTGACAGAAAGGAGCCTGAGTTATAGCTGCACTGGGGGATGGAGAGTTTGGGTAGAAGTGGGAGGTGGAAGAAGGACACTGCATCAGCCCCCAGGCATGTTCCATGTGTCCTTGTTCCCATTAATCCTGACACACCACCCATACACAAACTCCACAGTGACCTTGATCTAGATCGATAGCTCGTTCCAAGCTACAGTCAATTCCTATTGCATGGCTTTTGCCTTCCAGAGGAAGATGAACAAATGGCCATACAAGCCCAAATGTAGGCACTTGTGGTGTTGTCTTATGTCTTTGCTCTTTTGTGGCTTTCAAAGTGTGTGTGTGCGTGTGTGTGTGGTGTTCTTTTTTTTTTTTCAGTGGTGGGGTTTAAACTCAAGGCCTTACACTTACTAGGCAGGCACTCTACCATTTGAGCCACTCTGCCAGCCCTGTGTGTGTAATACTTACTTTCTTGTCTTCCCTTCTTAGATTTAATCCTCTCTCCCCTGAGAAGTTCTAGAGCCCTTCTCTGAGAACCTTGCCCACACTGGTGAACCAGAGGTTGGAGGAAGGGAGGCTGGAAAAGGGACCTGCAGTAATTCAAAGGGCTTTAGTGTTTGGGGCACTAGGGGAACAGAGGCATACTGGGAATAGAGCAGCCTTCTTGCAAGAAGACTTTGGATGGCATAAATAGGCAGAAGCACTACATGGCCCCTGATGAAAGACATTTAGTGCTCCTGGAAGTGCTTCCTATATAACCGTTTCAAATGGAACTGAGCACTTCTGAGCCACAGGATCTGGGTAAGGCATCAGGAACAGAGGCAAGAGGGGCCAGATAGGTACAATGGAGTGATGTGATGAGGACAGACAGAATAGGCAGAGAGAATGGGGAAGATGGGCTCTGTAGGGGACCAATCTGCCAATACTGGAGCGAGTCTGGCACTGACAAGCCCTGAGGTAAGAGGCCAAGGTCAGGGATCAAGGCAGAGGAGATGGGGCATTCTGTGGGTCCAAATAAACAGAGGAAAGAGAAATAGAAGAGAATGGTGAGGGAGTTTGGTTGGAGGTAGGGGGTATTCAGATAATGGAGTGGAAAAAATAAACAGGGAAATAGTATCATAGGGGCAAGGAAGCATCATTCTGGGTTATCATTTATTAGACATTACTTGAGACTCTTTGCTAAGTGCCTTATTTAATTCCCCCAGCAACCCAATGAGGTAGATACTATCTCCATTTTACATTTAAATAACTGTAACCCAGAAAATTAAAATAATTTGCACCACAAGGCCACACAACCAGCAAATGACAGAGCCAGTACTAAAACACAGGTCTGTCCAGTGTTAAAACTTGTTCTATTTTTTTTTTTTTCGGTGCTGGGGTTTGAACTCAGGGTCTATACCTCAAGCCACTCCACCAGCCCTTTTTTGTGATGGGTTTTTCAAGACAGGGTCTTCCAAACTATTTGCCCTGGCTGGCTTCAAACCTCCTGATCTCTGCCTCTTGAGTAGCTAGGATTACAGGTGTGAGCCACCAGTGCCCAACTAAAGTCTATTCTTTTAACTCCAGGCTATACTACCAGTGAGTAAGAATCAGAAGGCAGCTTAGGAGACTGATAAGAGAGAAGATGGAAGAAGTGAAGGTGAGATGAACCAGACTGGGAAATAGATGACAGGTAAACAGAAGGAACAGGAGATTCTCAGATTTGCAGATATCCAGGCCATGCATGGTTTTGTCACTTATAAAACTGACATCATACCTGTCATTACTATTCAAGGCCTACCTCCCCCACCAGCCTGTGAGCTCCATGTTTTTTTTGTTTTTAATTTTAAAATTTTGTGGTGGGTCCAGAATTTGAATTCAGGGCTTTATGTTTGCAAAGCAAGCTCTCTATCCCTTGAGCCCTACCTCCAGTACATTTTGCTCTAGTTATTTTAGAGATGGGATCTTGATCCTCCTGATCCACTGGTGCCTGACTGAGCTGTATGTTTTATTTGGTTTAAGGACTCAAAAGTAGTTATTGACTAAAGCTGAGGGTTTGAGAAGAGGTGATAGGGCGAGGGGATGAACAGATATATAAAGGCAAAGAGAGGGACAAGCATGGAACAAAAAAATGATATTTGAACTGGAGAAGGGTTTAGTCAGCGAGTGGGGACCTGGATTACAGTGAAAGCTCCTGAGAAGGAAAATGAATATAACTATTATGTACCAAGGTACTGGACTTGCTTCCCATTTCCACTTACATTATCTTATTTTATTCTCAAAATGATCTTATGAGATGGGTGTAATTGTCCTCATTTTCTTTGCAGTACTGGGGTTTGAACTCAGGGCATACATCTGGATTCACTCTACCAGTTATTTTTAGTGATGGGTTTTTTTGAGATTGGGTCCCCTGAACTATTTTCCCAGGCTGGCTTCCAACCTTGATCCTCCTCCTGATCTCTTATTCCTGAGTAGCTAGGATTATATCTGGCATATGGATATCATTTTCACAATTGTTTGCTAGGCAGGCACTCTTACTGCTGGAGTCACTCTGTCAACCCCTGTCCACATTTTCAAAGAGAAAATGAGGCATAGATAAATCACTTACACAGGATGACACAAGAATTACCAGCCTGTAATCCTAGCTACTCAGGAGGCAGAGATCAGGAGGATCATGGTTCAAAGCCAGCCCAGGCAAATAGTTTGCAAGACCCTATCTGGAAAAAAAACCATTACCAAAAAAAAAAAAAAAGGCTGGTAGAGTGGCTCAAACTGGTAAGAGCATCTGCCTCACAAGCATGGGGCCCTGAGTTCAAAGCCAGTGCTGTGCCTTGTCCCCCCAGCCCCCAGAAAAAAAAAAAAAAAGCAAAGCCAGAATGCAAATGCAAACCCAGACTTGAGGGAGAGAATAAGGGCATGAATTTTTCAGTGGAGACATAGCCACATGGAATTGAAGGCAGGAGAAGATCTTGTGGCAAGGATGAGAAATCAGTGAGTGAGGATGCTGACGATGAGGCAAGACATTAGGGAAAATAATTATATTGGTGATTACATCAAGGAGCAACTGTGTGTTCTTACAGCTGATACTGCCTACAAAATGGGGCTTTGAATAACATGTATTTACAAGATAGACACTTATAAGTAAGTTTCTCTGTGGCCTGTGGGTGCATATGGTCAATCAGTACTTTTCAGTACTTCCAATGCCTTTAGGATAGACATGAGGGCTGCTGGATTGGTTCAAATGGCAACAGCACCTGCCTAGCAAGTGTAAGTGAGTTCAAACTCCAGTACTGAAAAAAAAAAAAGTAAACTAGAATGGACATGGTTCTTTACAGCCCTGTCCCTGCTCCCCACAAAATTCCACTACTCCTTATTTTCTTACACCTGTCACATGACCTGCCTGATACCTGGAGATCAGAAGCCTCTCATTGTTTCAGAGGTGGGAATTCAAGCCCCAGAGGAAAGAGGCTTCTTCAAAGGTTTCGCAATAACTGGATGACTCAAAACCTAAGATTCAGCCAGGTGCTGACGACTCACACTGCAATCCCATCTACTCAGTACGCAGAGATCAGGAGGACTGTGGTTCAAGGCCAGCTTGGGCAAAAAAAGCAAGACCCTATCTCAAAAAAATATGCAATGCAAGAAAAGGACTGGTGGGGTGTCTCAAACTGTAGAGTGCCTGCCTAGCAAGCATGAGGCCCTGAGTTCAAACCCCAGTACAGAAAAAAACAAAAACCTAAAATCCAGGTCTCCTGATACTGAAGCACCATAGTACCTGTAGATTAATAGCTACATTCAAAGCTATTTGTCCAAGTATAGAGAAAGTATCAGTGAGATCTGAGAGGCGCTGTACAAAATCCAGGAAATTAAGATTACGGTAGCTAAGAACAAATCAAGATTTAGAGCAAAGAGAATGAGCCATGTTTAATAACTAGCTTATTTATTAAACCAAATCGTGATTTTCAACTTTCACGTTGTCCACCCTCCATCCCTCTCACATCAACACTGCATATCCCACTCTGACCACAAGGCGTCACTCTTGTCTTCACTAGATTTTTATAAATTTGTTTCCCAAATAGCATTTTGGGGATGACATGAGAGTGAAGACTTGAGAGTGGGAGTCTTAAGTCCCAGGCCCAGGTCCATTTTGGAAAGAAGTTCAAGGTACTCGAGGCCGAAGAAGAGTTGGTTAGCAGGCATGATGAGAGTGGAAGAGCTATGTTTCAGAAGCTGTCAGAGTCTCTCCACATAAAATGCTTTGCCCATTTGATTTAGTTCCTGCTGGTACTGCTGATACTCCTTTTCAAAGAGCTGGTGCAGAGCAGCTTGACGGGCCTGGTGGGGAAAGCAGAAAAGTGCTGTGTTGGCTTTCTACCAAATACCCTTTCTCATTCTCTCCTTTGGTTGTCTTCCCATCACTTACTTGGATCAGGACTTAGTTGTGACATAAGCAGTAGCAGATACTGAACCAGTGGAGGGGAAACCTATCCAATTTCTTCTCCATGGGGGAAAACCCCATGTTCATTAAATATTTGCTGAGACTATATCACAAATCAGGAAGTATGCTAGGTACGAGGGATACAAAGATGATGACATGACAGCAGTTGGGACTCCAGGGAGAGAAAAATATTCTAAGAGGCAGTTTAAAATCTTACTAAGATGAGAAGAGCAAAGACTATAATGCACTTTGGGACTTTGTATTACCTGCAAATTGGATGCAAAAAAGTATCACAGAAAAGAACTTTCATATTTAAAGAATTGTGTTCTGGGGCTGGTGGAGTGACTGAAGTGGTAGAGTGTCTGCCTAGCAAGTATGAGGCCCTGAGTTCAAACCCCAGTGCCATCAAAAAATATAATAAAGTTTTTTTTTTCTTTTAAGAATTGTGTTCTTGTATAGTAGTGAGAAACCTCAGAGGTAAATGAAGTTAGGTGAGTCATGACAGAGACTAAACTTGAAATCCCAGTTGGCAAAGGCACAGGGCAATAAAGGATAAGACTTGAGGCTGCTCTCCTGAAACTTACCATTAGTAGTTGTTTGTTGGCCAGTGCCAATTCCTGTACCATATCATTCTGCATCCGTAGGGTAGCATACAGTTTTCTCCTCTGGTTCAATGTCATCTGCCACAGACAGTGAGTATGTGAATTTTGCCACCTGCCCCAGGTATTGAATAGGTTAGAGTTAGGAGTGGTGACAAAAACCCCATCAGCGAGGTTATTTTGTCTCCAGAACCCCTGCTACTGTCAAAACATTGCAAAATGGTTGGAAGTTTAAAACTAGAACCTAGTTATGTATTTAGTAGTTATGTCATTTAATCATTACCTACAGACATAGGTATCAATTTTTACATAATACAATGTAACTAAAAGTTGTGAGTGGCCCATGGTTTAAGTCCTTTATCCATAACCCTTTTTCTTTGAATAAGTGTTTCTTCAGTAACAACTAAGTGGCTGGGCACTGGTGTCTCATGTAATCCTAGCTACTCAGGAGGCAGAGATCAGGAGGATTACAATTCAAAGCCAGTGGGGGCAAATAGTTCAAGAGACCCTATCTCAAAAAAATCTATCACAAAAAAGGGCTGGTGGATTGGCTTGAGATGTAGGTCCTGAGTTCAAGCCCCAGTACCAAAAAAACAAAACAAAACAAAAGCTTCACCCAGCCCTAATTCTGCTCAACAAAATTAGCTTTATTCCTAAGTGTTTCAAAAAGCTCAGGGTAGGGAATGTAGCTCAGTGGTGGAGGACTTTGCTAGCATGCACAAAATTCTAGGTTCAATACCCAGCACCAGAAAAAAATGAAAATAGAAATAAAGCTCATTAGGTGAAATATACAGTCCAGTCTTTTTTAGTCTTTTCACTTATTCGACAAATACTGCAATACCTGCCGCAAAATTTATGTAAAGCCAGGCAAAGAAATACATGAGTTTTCCTTAAAAAAATCAAATGAGAAAACAAAGTAACAAACGTATGTGCCTATCTTCCAGAGAATGGGACGCAGGGCCTAATCTACTAGGCACTAGGAAGCTGATCTCTGCTTTCTTTGAGCAAGGATGCTTCTTGCCCCTTTCGTATTTTCCTTCTTGAAAAGCCCCTAACAAGATGGAGTAGAATTGAGAGTTAGCTTAGAGACAAAAGGGTGGAAAGGTCAAATTTAAGGGTAAGGAGGAGACAGAAGCAGATTACCTTTTGATCATCTTCTGAAGTCCCATGGCCCTTTGGAATCTCTGCAATAAAAGAGTTCTGTTCATCTGCCTAGATCTCTTGAACCTCACCAACAGTACCCCTTTCCAGGAGATACATACACCTCTTTTGAGAGAGGAAGTGGTCAATTTTCTAGTGGAAGTGGGAAGAACACTCTACTCTTTTCAGGATGGATCAAAGAAAACATTCAGGGGTTGGAGTGGAACACATACTTGAGTACTTACTATGTGCCAGACATAGTTTCCTACTCCTGTTGTTATCTCCTACTCTTAACTTACATCGTTTTTTTCCCCAGTAAATGGGGTGCTTTTGGTAATCTCCTTCAACCATCCCCTCCAACTCTGCATACCTCCTCTTCTTTTGCCATCTTTTCCATAGACATGTTTACAGACTTGCTTGGTAAAGTCTGAGGACACTGGCTAAGCTCTCCTTTCTGTTTAGTCACCAAGGATTCAGTAGTCATAGCAGCATTTAGGCCTCCAACAATCACCCTGGGCCTATTAGTTCATTGGTCACCTAGCCTGTTGCCCTGGAGACATGAAGGGAATCCTGGTTCTCCAGCCTTCTATTAGTGACACAGGCAAATCCATGAGTAGGATTTCTTCTGTTGGGATTTCAGTTATCTGCATCTAACCAATTCTCTCCCCTAAACACCCTGTTAGGAAAATGCAGAAAACTTATATGCCTCGCCTCTTTGATTAAAAGACCAATACAAAGGAAGGACTCATATTCTTTATTTTTTAATAGTTCATTTTATTAAATAATTTATAAAGTTGATTAATACACTGGCTTATTAGGGGAAACCATTTCTTCACATTGTCTCCTATCTTGGAATAGATTATGCCAGGTGTCAGGACATTCCCTTTTAATTTATTCACAACAGAGTACTGAATGAAGATGGAAGGGCTGATTCTTGCACTTGAGGAAAGTTGTTAGTGTTTCCAGACATCCTGGTTTAAGTGCAGCATCAGGGTAAATTGTTCCATGTACCACCCATTTCCTCACCACTCCTTCCTAGTACTGCCTTTTCCACCAATCAACTCTAAGACACCCTAAACCCAAAGAGTTCCCTTTCAATTGAATACATTGGGGGTAGACATTAGAAGACACCTCACCTTACCTCCCACCTTTGGATTAAATAACCTGCAACAGGGCAGGTGAACTACAACCAAAAGTAAGTGAAGATTTTTAAGGAAGTTTTGACAAATATTCAGAATGCTTCTGAATTTAAATCCAGAAAAATGTGCTAATGGGGAAAAACTAAGTCTTGGCTGATTGTTCTGAAAATGCCCATAAGGGTTGAGAAATAACCCTTCAGGTTTAAGCCCTAAGAACTTCTGGATACAAGGGACTTTGGCTGATAGTTTGGGTCTGCAGCGGTCCTGAAGCCTGTCCAGCAAGCATCTCTGGCTCAATCTGCAGTCAGAGTCCTTCAGCCCCATCACAGAGTACTCTCCAACGTGTTATAGTTGTCCTTAAAGCTCTTCAATTCGAGGAAGTGCTTGGCACGTTTACTCTTCTGACTGGAGGGAAGGTATGTGACCTGGATGGTTGTTGGAGAGATTTCAGGGGACTGAGTTAGGTCTTTGGCTGCTGACTGGTGCTGTCGCTGAGAGCTTCCAATTCGTGCTTTGACCCTAAAAAAAAGAAAAAAAAGAGGAAAGGGTCATGGACGGAATGAAGACTAGCAGAATACTATCTAGGGCTAATCTCATCCCACAAATGCAGCCTCAAATGACCTCTGACCTATCTTATAAACTAGTTACTAAAAATCTCACCTGATAACTTAGAAATAGCAGAGAAGCCAGGCGCCTTGGTGGCTCATGCCTGTAATCCTAACTACTCGAGGCAGAGATCAAGAGGACTGTAGTTCAAAGCCAGCCCAGGCAAATAGTTTATGAGACCCTATCTTGAAAAACCCTATCACAAAAAACAAAACAAAACAAAAAAAGTCCCAACAAAAAAGAACAGAAGCAGATACTGGGTACTTACATGTTAGGGCAGAATACTTGGTGATTTATCAGTATCTAAGTTACTAAACCCCTGTATTGTGTTATTATCCAGTCTTTTTTGTTTTGTTTTGTTATTCTTTATCATCCAGTTTTGCAGGTTAGGAAACTGAGGGTCCAATAATTAATTTTAATGAGGTCACAAAGCTAGTAAATGACAGACTGGGGATTCAAACCTAAGTGTGTCAGATTTCAAAGCATATACTCTTCCCACTATACTCACTGAATTTTTCTAGAAACAAGAAAAAAAACAAAAACAAAAAACCTTAAAATGTACTGTCTTAACCATTATTATTTACTTCATTATTTTTTGTGGGACTGGGGTATGAACTCAGGGCTTCACATTTGCAAAGCAGGAGCTCTACAGCTTGAGTCACAACCTCTAGTCCATTTTGCTCTGGTTATTTTGGAGGTGGGGGGGGTCTCACAAACTATTTGCCTGGGCTGGCCTCAAACGATGATCCTCCAGATCTCAGCCTCCCCAGTAGCTAGGATTACAAACGTAGGCCACCAGCAACCAACTCATCTTAATCATTTTATCTTACTTTATTTATTTTTTGCAGTATTGGGGCTTGAACTCAGGGCCTTTACCTTGAGTCACTCCACCAGCCCAATTTTTTTGTGATAGGGTTTTCTGACAATTTGCCTGGACTGGCATTGAACTAGGACCCTCCTGATCACTGCCTCCTGAGTAGCTAGGATTATAGACGTGAGCCACTAGTGCACAGCAACCATTTTAAAATGTGTATTTCAATAGTGGTAAAAATATTTACACTGTTGTACAACCAATGTTCAGAATGCTTTTCATCATGTAAAACTGAATTGTTTATGCCTATTTAACAACTTATTTCCGCCTTTCTCCAGGCCCATGGATGCACCATTCCATTTTCTGTCTCTTGGTTTGACCATCTAATTTTCATGCACGTGGAATCAGTATTTATCTTTCAAAGGTGTTCTGAACATATTTCCTGTCCAATTTCTAGAACAAATGCTCTTTTCTAGCATCTCTACTGTGTTCATTTCCATTACTACTATAAGTAAAAGTTTTTGTTAGGACCTTTTGTCTTTAACAAGGTAGATCATTTTTAGGCAAAGAGAAAAGATAGGATGCATACCTGATCTCTTGAGAAAGTCATAATGAACACACTACAAATACAAATGTGCTCTTTTCATGGCTGGAAACTATTTTTTTCGGAGACAGGACTAATTCTTAATACTTTGTTGTTGTGGTACTGGGGCTTGAACTGAGGGCCTACATCTTGAGCCACTCCACCAGCCCTTTTTTAGTGAAGGGTTTTTTCGAGATAGTGTCTCAAGAACTATTTGCCCAGACTGGATTCAAACTTTGATCCTTGTGTTTCCTGCCTCCTGAGTAGCTAGGATTATAGGCATGAGGAACCGGTGCCCGGCTAATTTTTAATTCTTGATTGATCTTCCTTTTTCACACCACTTTCATGTTAAGATTTGTGTAAGCTGGATGCTTTTGGGTCAAAGTGACTAGGCAAATAGTTTATGAGACTGTATCTCAAAAAATACTCAACCAAAAAAGGGCTGATGGAGTGGCTCATGTGGAAGAGCACTTACCTAGGAAACCCAAGGTCCTGAGTTCAAACCCAAGCACTACCATAAGAAAATCTGTATAAATAACATAATGAAACTATGTTTAATACATATTTAAAACATTCCTAAACAAGTCACAATTTCTTTCCTATAAAAATGCTCAAAAGCTGACTCTCCAGTGATGCCTTGTTATGCTTTAATTGTATTTATTTATTTATTTATTTGTTTGTGGTACTGGGGTTTGAACTCAGGGCCTACACCTTGAGCCACTCCACCACTTTTTTGTAAAGGGTTTTTTCGAGATAGGGTCTCCCAAACTATTTGCCCAGGCTGGTTTTGAACTGTGATCCTCCTGATCTCTGCCTCCTGAGTAGCTAGGATTATAGGCATGAGCCACCGGTGCCCACCTTATATCTCTTACTTTTATTAGACCAAGACATAAAAAGGAGGGCCCTAGAATAAAAGGCCTCCCTATGTGTTGAAGAAATTTCTTTTGCGAGGCTACACCAATTTTGACATTGGGCTGGATAAAACAAGATAAAGATGCAAAGTAGAACCTTCTGTCCTTGTAGCATCTGTTTTCTAATGTGGGCAAGAGGCAGTTCTTACAGTGTAATGGATTTGTTAATATTGCTTTATGGTCATTTCACTACAAGAATAGTCCAGCACTTTTGTATTCTCTTTTTAATTTGTTTGTGGATCTTGCTACATAGCTAGGGCTGTCCTGAAAATTGTGATCCGCCTACCTCAGCCTACCTTCTGTTTTTCTCTAACCAGACCCCTTTGACATGTTCCCCTCCAAACTCACACAGTAGCCAGCTCACTTAGGGCTTCCTGATAGCGCAGGTATTCATTCTGGCCAAAAACCTTAGGAAAGAGAAAGGAAAAGTTAAGACCTCTAATTTGGCACATTCTTTAGATTCTTGAAGGAAAAACTGGCTATATAGCTTACCCCTGTCCCATAGCGGGCTGTCTCATAGCCATCCAGCAGGGTATCAATGAGGGCCTTGCGCACACCCTTGAATGGAGTCGTAGTGTTTCGCAGATCTAACAAGTAGGAGCGGAAATTCTTGCCCATTAAGGATCGGGGGTGACGGCCCTCAGCATGAAATGGGATCTCTGAGAAGATAATAGCACAATGATATCCCTTTTCCCAGTCTTCAGTCTTTCTAGTTTATTTCCCAAACTTAGAAATAGTTCTAATGAAATGAGTGAGGTAAGCTGTAGGTAAATTCTAAGACTGAAGACCAGGGTGATACAGCTAAGCACAAGTGGTAATTTAAGGGGTAGCAACACAACTCTAAGTTATACCAATGATACAAGATAGTGTCAACATATTTTTTACTGTACTATTTACCCTTCTGGCTTTAAGATATAAACTGTTGTGTAAGAGACAGAGCATATATGACAAGTGGTCATGAAATGTGAAAAAAATTAGAACCTTAAAAATAAGCAGGGCATCAGCAGCTCAAGCCTGTAATCTTAGCTACTTAGGAGGCAGAGATCAGGAGGATCATGGTTCCAAACCAGTCCTGGCAAACAGTTTGAGAGGCCCTATCTTAAAAATAACCAACACAAAAAAGGGCTGGTGGAGTAGCTCAAGAGGTATAGTGCCTGCTTAGTAAGCCCAAGTTCACATCCTTAGTTTCACCAAAAATAAATAAATCTTAAAAACAGAAAACAAATGCCAGGTGTGGTGCCTGTAATCCCAGCACCTAGGCAGCTGAGGAAGGAGGATTGCAAGTTCAAGATCGGCCTGGGCATAAAGTGAGACCCTATCTGAGAAGTAATCAAAACACACAGAAAAGGGGCTGTTGAGTGGCTCAAATAGCGAGTTTCTGTTTATTTATTTATTTATAAAACTTTTTGAACTTTTCATTTTTATTTGATCTTAAAACTTATATAATATCATTAACAGAGAATAATACATTCTTAGAGAATGAAAAGACAAAATAAATTTGAGACACTGGGTCAGCAATTTGTAAAAAGAAAGAAAATGTAAGATTATATAGCTGCCATGGTATCAAAGAAATCAGTAGGCTTAGGCAAGAGAACTTGAATTGAACACCAAATTGGATTCATAGTGAAAACTATATCTGAAGTAAAAAAAAAGTTAGTAACCAAGCAATGTTAAAAATGTTATTTTCAAAATAAGAGTCTTTTTTTTTTTCTTTCTGGTACTGGACTTTGAAGTAGGCCTCACTCTGGCTAGGGAAGCACTCCACAAACTTTATCTACTATGCCAGCCATTTTTTGTGAGGGTGCGAGTTTCTGTTTAGCAAGCATAAGGTCTGAGTTGAACCCCTAGTATGGACAAAAAAACAAACCAAGAACAGGAACAACCCCCCCACTCCCCACTCTTTGGCAAAAAAATAACCTGCCTGTACAATTTCCTTAGGCAAAACAGTAACCCAGTACTCTCAAAACTCTAGGAAATTCCTACAAGCCAGGGATGTACACAAAGGAATAAATCCTACTCTGTTCCTATGTGGTTTTTTTCAGGATCCTAAAATGGACTCTGTCAGTTAGCCCTTACCAGAGGCACGGATGGCATCCAGAGCTTTCATCCTGTACAGATAGTTGTAGCAACCTGTTAAAAAAGACACTAATCTCAGCAGTAACCCTCAGAATATACCCCAAACTCCAGTATACTAATAAACTGCCTCCCTGCATCTGGCATAGATCCAGATGGGCAATAACTGCGGCTTTTGTTGGCAGCTGCTAACTCTGTAAGCAAAGGAATTCTGAGCTTGTGGAACTCCTCACTGAAACATCCTCCAAAAGCTTGCTACATACTTTGATTTTCCTGGGTTTCCAGCTGTAGCAGTCTTGTATCATCATCTGCAAGGAGCTGGGGTTCATACTTGATATCCTGAACCCTGGAAAGTCGAATATCAATCTCTTCTTTCAGATCCTGCCCATGTAGAGAAAAAAATACACAATAATTTACTCTGTACTGTTCCCACTAATCTGGAAATGGGCAGTGAACAAATAAGAAAATGCTTGTGTAGCTAATGAAACTGTCAGGTAAGATGCAAGAATTTAGGAAAGAATGGACTTGGGTTCTCTAATAACCTCTCCAAGCTATACAACTCTATAAGCTAGATATTTTAACTTGGCAGAATTCCTTCAATCTCTTACATTATTTTTGGTGGGACTGGGGTTTGAACTCGTGGCTCTGTATCTTGCAAAACAGGCACCCTACCACTTGAGCTACACCTCTAGCCTATTTTGCTCTGGTTTTTAAAGATGGGGTCTTGTGAACTATTTGCTTGGGCTGGTCTCAAACCATGATCCTCTCGATCTCAGACTCCTAAGTAGCTAGGATTACAGGTATGAGCCCACTAGCACCTGGCTCAATCAATATTTTTTTTTCTCCCACTGCTGGGGAAAAAAAAGGTCTTGCTCATGCTAGCTTGAGTCATACCCCCAGCTAATACTATTTTTCTTTTTGTTTTTTATTTTCTTTGAGACAGAATTCCATTATATAGTTCAAGCTGGTCTAGAATTATGTAGTTCAGACTAATTTTAAGCTTGGAATCCTCCTGCCTCCAATTTCCCAAGTTCTGGGATTACAGTATGCACCCTCAAACTCAGCTAATATTATTTCTGATTTTAAGTTGGACTTAGAAGAATCTTGGTTAGTTGTTATAAAGAACTTCCTGAGTTGGGTAAAATGGACAACTGGAAGCCATAATCTACTCTAAAAAAATCTATGAGGAAGTCAGGAGCTGATGGCTCATGTCTGTAATCCTAGCTAGTTGGAGATAGAGATCCAGAAGATCGGGGCCAGCCTGGGCAAAACAGTTTGTGAGACCCTACCTCAAAAATACTCAACATAATGCTGGGCACCGGTGGCTCACGCCTGTAATCCTAGCAGAGATCAGGAGGATCGCCATCCCAAGCCAGCTCGGGCAAATAGTTTGCAAGACCCTATCTCGAAAAACCCCATCATAAAAAAGGGCTGGTGGAGTGGCTCAAGGTGTAGGCCCTGAGTTCAAGCCCCAGTACCACAAAAACCAAAAACCACCAAAAGGACTGGAGGAGTGACTCAAGTGGTAAAGCACCTGTCTGGTTAAGTGTGAGGCCCTGCATTCAAATCCCAGTACTGCCCCCCTCCCCCCACTCTATCAAGTAAAAGAGGTCTGTATAGTCTGTAAATGTTTGGGGACTATCCCACTCAGTATATCACAGGACTTGTACAGACCACATTAAAAATTAAAAGAGGGCTGACTGGGGCTTGGCTCAACTGGTAAGAGTGCTTGCCTAAGTGCGAGACCACGGGTTCGATCCCCAGTACTACAAAATAAAGTGCATGCCTCATTGATATTTTAGAAAATCTAAAACATAGTATTTCGCTGGTACTGGGGTTTGAACTCATGGCCTCATGCTTGCTAGGCATGTGCTCTTACTGCTTGAGCCACTTCTCGAGCCCTAAAAAACTTAAAAAAAATACTAAATGTGCCACTCCTCACTTATTCATTATTATTATTAGTTCTACATCCATCTTACCTAAGAGGGTTGTCAGAACCCCAGGAGATTTTGTTTTTGTTGTAACTTTGTTTTTGCAGTACTGGGGACTGAATTCAGGGCCTCACACTTGCTAAGCAAACACTCTTTACCACTTGACGTATGCCCTCAATCAACGTAACTATATCACACCCAGAATATAAACAGCACATATTGTACATTTTAAATGAAGATTAAGATGAACACCTGCATCTAATTAATATTCAGTTTAAGATGGATGTGAGGGCGATCTGGCTGCAACATCTGTCACCCCATTGATCGCCAGGGTTGATTCGGCTGATCTGGCTGGCTAGGCGGGTGTCCCCTTCCTCCCTCACTGCTCCATGTGCGTTCCTCCCGAGGCTGTGTGCTCGGTCGAAGAGGACAGCCATCCCCAATAGAGGAGGACTGTTCTTCAGTCAAGGGTATATGAGTAGCTGTGCTTCCCTGCTAGAACCTCCAAACAAGCTCTAAGAAATGGAACAGTACCAATGACTTTAAGTCTTATGTATCCATCCCTGCTTGAATGTCTACCACCCTGAACCTTAATTTGTCAATAGTCCTCTTATTTCACTGTTTTCCTATGTGTCACCGCAAACAGTAAGTTTAGCTTTGTCAAGTTTTGAACTTTATACAAATGGAAAAACACTTTATGAATGCTTCTTCAACTTAAATTTTTAAAAAGTTATTTTACTTTTGTGGTATTGGGGATCAAACCCAGGGCTTCACAAATTAGACAAGTGTTCTACCACCTATACCTCAGCTGTGTTTTTTTTTTAAATAAATCTTTACTGGTGATGAACATATATAATAAAACGTATTTTAAGTGTATAGATGAATTTTGACCTGCATCTCAATCAAGTAAATAGTACTTCCACCACCCTAAATTGTCTCCTCATACCTTCGCAGCCCATCTTTGCCCAGACATGTTACCTCTTCTCTAGTACTGTGTTCTAGGACCTCATCTAAATACAATGGTACATACTCTGTTGTGAATGGCTTTGTTTTTTTTTTTTTCACTTGGCATGTTTTTGAGAAACTTAGAACTGTTCTTTTTTTTTTTTTTTTTTTTTGGTGGTACTGGGGTTTGAACTTAGGGCCTTGGGCTTGTTAGGCAGGCATTCCATCTATAACTTTTTTTTTATCCAAAATATTTTGGAGACTAATTTGTATTCATGTTTTTACCTTCAGTTTATTTTCATTTTTTGTAATAGTCCATAATAAGTATACATCACTATATATTCATTTTATTTTATTTATTTTTTGTTGTACTGGGCCTACACCTCAAGTCAGTCCACCATTTTTTCAAGATAGGGTCTCAAGTACTATTTGCCTGGGCTGGCTTCGAACTGTGATCCTCCCATCTCTGCCTCCTGAGAAACTAGGATTACAGGCGTAAGCTATCGGTGCCCAGCCCATATATCCATTTTGTATTGGACTTCTGAGTTAAATTTTAAAGATATTATGAACAACACTCCTATGAATATTCTTGTAAATGTTCTCTAGTATATACGAGCAATATTTTCTGTATGTTTATATGGTAAGAATAGAACTTCTGGACCATGGATCAGATATATATAAGTACAATTTTATTAGATATTGTCCAATTATTTTCCATAGTAGTTTACCAACTTACATGAGACTTTTTGTTTAAAAAAAAAAAAAAAAGGAATCTTGACTTCATATAGATTGGAAGCTTCTAAAATATCTAACATTTTAATTGGCTCACGATATGCTAGAAAACCACCCTATGTTCCCCTCTCATGAAAAAAGTTGAAGGAGCACTGTTGAAGTTTCAGGCTATGACATCCTTGAGCCTTTACACAAAGTATCAAGAGGACTGAGGCTGGCAGAGTGGCTCAAGTGGTAGAGTGAAAGTATGAGGCCTCGAGTTCAAACCCCAGTACCACCCAAAAAAAAAAAAAAAAAAAAAAAAAAGCACACTGCTCCAAGAGTAGAGGAAATCATGTACTAGCTCTAGCTCTCAACCAATTAAGTACCTACTATGTAAAGCCCTGGCTTTAAAATGATGAGAAAAAATGGGCTGATACCTGCTTTTTTGAAAAGGATTGAACTCAAGGCCTTACACACGCCAGGCATACGTTCTACTACCGAGCTATATCCCCAGCCCAAGCGCTTGCATTCTTGTTTGTTTTTATTTAGGCGGTACCAAGGTTTGAAATCAGGGCTTCATACTTGCTAGGCAAGTGTTCTACTACTTGAACCACTGCACCAGCCCAAGGGCTTGCATTCTTAAAAATTATAGTCTAGTGGAAGAAGCAGCATGTTTTAAACACTAGACAAGCGTAAGAAAAATTATGGCAGATGCTATGAAGGAAAAAAAAAAATCAGGGTACTGTGAGACCATAAAGAGATCTACTTTTTTTGTGTGGTACAGCAGATTGAACTCAGGACCTTACATTCTACACTTGAGCTATGCCTCCAGTCAAGAGATCTACCTTAAAATAGGTAATGGGCATTCCTCTTTTGAGGAGTTAACAGTTTAAGCTAAGATCTAAAGAACAAATTAGCTCTCTAAGTGAAGATACAGTTAACAGGATGTGCAAAGGTCTGGAATTCTACTAGTGGAGCTGGATCTCAGTGACTGGGAGAGAGCAGCAAAGGGCAGCAGATGCTTTTATTGAGAAGTGAAGAATGAAGAAGCATGATGGGAGAGAGCAGCAAAGGGCAGCAGATGCTTTTATTGAGAAGTGAAGAATGAAGAAGCATGATGAGGTGTCAGTGCGATAACAAGGGTTCTGATTTAATGTTAGGTTTGAGATGTGAATTAGAAATCTAAGTAGAGGGCCGGTTGTGGTAGCTCATGCTTGTGCTCCTGGCTGTAGAAAAGAGGATTACAGTTCAAGGTGGGCCCAGGCAAAAACATAACTAAAGTAAAAAAGGGCTGGGGGCATGGCTCAAGTGATAGAGCACCTGCCTAGCAGTCATGAAGCTCTCAGTTCAAACCTTAGTACCAAAAAAGAAATCTAAGTAGAAATTTGGGGTAAGCAATTGAATATTTAAGTATAAAATGTAGGAAAATGGGTTTGGGATAGAAATGAAATTCCACCTGTTCTTTTCTCAAAGCCAAGAAAGGAAAGCAATCACCTAAAGAAGGGTATAGACAAAGGTAAGAGACCATTAGGTTATTGGTTTTCTAAATGTCCTCCTGTAAGTTGCTACCATTTCCTAGGCTTGTGAACATGAATGGTGGAACTAGATGAGTAATAACACTTTTTTTTTTTTGCAGTGCTGAGGATAAACCCAGAGCCTCATGCATGCTTAGGATAAACCCAGAGCCTCATGCATGCTTAGGCAAGCCCAATGGGCTCTAAAATCTAGTTTTGCAAAGGCAACACTTCTTACAGCTCTGGAGTTAACCACATTATCTTAAAGCAAACAAAAAACACTGGCTAATTTAAAATGAACTGGAAAACATTGTACAGCAGAGTTGGTAATTTCAACTTCATTCTGTAGATGTAAAACCTTTAAGTTTCACTGTGAACCAAAGAGAGCCAAATCTCAAAGCTGACATTATAGTTCAATTTATAAGGTAACTAACTAGGAAGGCAAATGAAAAAAGAAACGTGAATTAAAGTAATTTTTAAAAAAAGACACAGGAAATCTCATTCTTGTCCCTAAAACATCTGGAGAACCAGGTTTACTTCGGGCCCTAAGGACCTACCTTGGGGGCATTGTGTCCCACAGGGACATGAGGTCCCCTTCTAGATTTCATTGCAAAGCGCATGATTTGCCTCTTCACAAAAATAAATAGCAGTACAAATACCTGTCCAAAAAGATGAGAAATTGAAACTTTTAATAATAAAAAAAAACCCATGCCAGATCCGGGCTCTCAGGGATGGAATGCTTCGGGGTAAAACTTGGGGTAAACTGTCAAGGATAGGCGTGCATCTAGGAAAACCAGTAGCGGGGAGGAATGAGATCTCTGCCCTGGAATTTAGAGGTAAGGTTCTCAGCCAGGGACAGGTTCTGGGTTTATGACTTAAGCTCGCAGATATTCTTGGGACAGGAATCAAAAGCCCAGAAAAAGGGCAGGTGGGAGAACGAAGGGGGGGGTGGAGAACGAAGACAGGGAATGGCTCAAGAGGGTTTCGACTGGGTCAGACGCGACGGCAGGAATGGGGCGGGGGGCGTTCTCCTCACCAGGCTCCCGTAGGCCATCACCAGCACGACATTCACCCCGGACAGCCAGTTACTGCTAGACGCCATGACTTCTCTCTCCGCGCGGAACTGCTCGTTTTTTCCCGCCGCCCTGTCTCGTTAGCCCAGCAGAAGCCACGGCGCTTGAGTTCCCTGGAGCGCCCCGGCCATTTCCTTACGGGGGAAAACTAAGCAAGACCCGGCCTGAAAACATGGCGGTTGTGGGGGAGGGAGGAGAGCAAAGAAAACAGAACGACGCCTTCCCGCTTCCCCCGACACGTGACCCAGACAAGCAATGGCACCTGGGAGCGAGTGCGGAGATGCGGAACTTCGCCAGTAGGAGGAAGCGGAGACCTTGGTGAGTCACGTGATGGAGGCGGGGCCATCGCAGACGGGGCGGGCTGACGCGCGGAGCCCAAGTGCGGTGTTTCGTGGCGTGGCGGCGCGCGCACGCTGGCGTGCACGTCCCCTTTCGCGTCACGTGCTGGGGAACGCAAGAAGGCAAGTGGGAGGGGGAAGGCGCGAGAGCGAGCGCGAGAGGGAAAAGGAGGGAGGGGGTGGGGAGGAGGGAATCTTATATCACGTGACTGGGGCGGCGCGGCCCGGGGTGTCAGTGTGGAGGAGACTGAGGTAAAGTTGGGAGCGCAGCGGCGTTGGCGGCGGCGGCGGCGGCAGCGGCAGCGCGGCGGGGCCGGGTATTGTCCGCGGCCCCTTTAAATCCGCGATCCCCCTTTTACCCTCCCTCCTTTCTCCCCTACCCCCGCCGTATCCCCCTCCCTCGGTAGGCCCCCACCCGCGCCGTGTGTTTCCCCGCTGTATACCCCCACCTTGTAGTCATGCGAGCCCTGGCGCCCCCTCTCTCCCCCCCACCCCCCCGAGTCGGCCGCCGGAGGTTTTGTTTATGGTTGGGTTCGAGGCCTAGTGGGCCGCGCCAGAGCCGGGGCCTCGATTTGGGAGCGTGGCCGGGGCGGGGCTTGGGACAGCCTGACGGGGGGGGGCCATGCGGCTAGAAGCTTGAAGGGGGAGAGTGAGAAAGAGCGCGAGCGGGCGAGCGAGGCCTGGGCCTTGCTTGAGGTGGGGCTCTGTGTCTACCGTGGCCGGTGCCTGTAGAGGAGAGGGCCTCCTCCCTTTCCAACCCTCTGCGGGCCTCTGATCCGGATCCGGCCTGGTTTGGGGGTGGCGTGGGGGGGGGGAGGGCGATGGGGTGGAGCTGCCCCAAACAACCCCATGTGGCCCTCAGTTTGGAGTGCGGAGGATTAATTTGTTCCGGGTGGGAGGTGGAGAGGCGATTGGCCCCGTGGGCTTCTGATGTGGCGCGGAGGGGGGTGAGCCTTGCATCCTCCGCGCGTGGGCTAGCGTCCCCTCTTCCTTTCCAGCCTCTTTGTCACCTCATCTTGTAACCCTTCTTTCTTACCGGCCCAGCTCTTGGGATATATTTTTGCTGCTGTTTTTAGCCTTCTGTCGTGTAGTTTGTGTACCTCAAACAATTATGTTATTTGGGAAGCTGGACATGGAGGCCCCATACGGGTGTATTACGCCTAAAGGACGTCACTAGATTACTGGGGTATTTATTCACTCTTACAATGGGACAGGAATTCCAAATTTCTTCAGGTCCTTCACCTTGTGGACAGCCCCTAAATTGCTGTGCGAATTGGTGTGACACAAGAGATTGCTCCTTTTCTTGAAATGTAGCCACCTCTTGTGTAGGATGTTGTGGAAAGAAAAACACCACAGTAACGCTTTTTGTTATTAACGTTTTTGCCTTTGACTCACGTGATTATTAAACGAAGAGGTTTTTTTTTTTTTTTTTTTTTTGTCTTCATCCATCTTCAATCTCCCCATATCCTGCTTTGGGAATAATCTGATGTGACTTGCTGGGAGGTGATGGAGTCGGTGACAACCAGCATTATTAGAGAATTGAAACATTTTGGCTCTGTATGGGTTAATAAAACTGCTTTGAGATCCTACACCATTGTCTTTAAAGATGAGATTATCCCAATGATTGTGAATGGGAAGTATTGCTGCCATGTAAATTAATGATGAAAGGCCTAAAATGTACTCTTTTGCTTTTTCATTTTTTAAAATCCCTCCTTGCTAAGTGTGTTCTAACTGGGAAGGCCTCTTACGTGATTCGAGCTGGTGGGGCAGGGGACACGGAGGTCATTTCAACAAAGCATCTAGGGAAATTAGTTGCTCTGTTGCAGAGGTAGCAAGTCTTACCCATCCCAGTTCAGCTTCAGAGTTTCTGAATTGTTTCTTCAATTAGATTGTAAGCTCCCTGAGGGCAGCAACCAAGTCATAATGTTTTTGTATTTCCTGAAGTATTGGACACATAGTAGATACTCAATAAATACTTGTTATTTATTTTTTTCAGTAAATTTTCTCTGGCTATTTTTTTAAGGAGCTGGTTGTCAAAATACAATTAAGGGCACTCCTCTGTTGAAACTTGTATTTGCTCCTGCAGTATTCTTTTGGTCTTCATTACTTCTCATCCCACTTCCCTTAAGTATTTTTATTTTCTCAGAAAGGGTAACAATACGCCTCACCTCCACTGTGATAACTCTTGGGTATTTGTCTCTGCTTGTTACTAAAAAACTACTAATTCTGTGCCCTCAAGTGATCTATCCCAGATCACTTACTTTTGACCTGTCGCTCAGTATTGTTATTACTGAGGTGGTAAAATTCTTTAGTCACACATTTCACAGGGAAGTGGAAATTAACAGCAGAAGTGATCAGGAGGATTTTTTTCTTTTCTGGCTAATTATGTCTTTCTAATATACTTTTATCCGATTAGATAGGTACGTGCAGTGGTTCATACATCTCTTCCTTCAGCTTATATTTGTGGTATAACTCATTTTCAAAAATTGATACTACATGTGGAGTAGAAAGCAGTTAGGATTTTTAAGTTACAAGAGTGGGTTGAGAATGACTATTTTGTGTTAGAAACTTCATCTTGCAACCAATTTTAAAACACAATTGTTTTCTTGTAGTTTTAACTTTTTTCCTTTGTTGATTTGGATCCATGGGGTGGTCGGTTAAACAACATTTGTATGTTTTAAATTATTGAAATTTGTCTAAGATGCCAGCCTGGGAAAATGGACTATTGTGTAGCAAATAACCCTGTACTAGCTTGAGATGTTTACAGGCCTTTGTGTGTACGTGCATATAGAGGGGGAAGAGGTAATGGTTAAAAATTAGCACTGAAGCTGCGTTAAAAAGATCTTTGTTGGCGATAGAGAATGTAGTAGAATTCTTCATTCTTAATGACCACATCAAAAAAGACCTATGCAACCTATTGACACAACTTGGTGGTGAAGAATTTATCCACAGGAAAGTCAGCTTTCTCTGTGTCATCCAAGAAACAGGTGAAATTCGCTTCCCTAATAGTTAATCCTTACATATTTCTTTAGAACCTTCCCTGCTTCAAAATCTAGCAGTGCTTTCTGGGCAGTCTAGAATTACCCTGTATAATGTTGCATTAATGAAAAAATACATAAAAATTTATTTTCTTGTGAAGGGAATAAAGCAATGCAAAGTAACCTTTTATTTTGAGCATTTTACCACATGATGAATGTTTTCTTTGTTTACTAAATGCAGCAGCTGAGATTGCATTATAAAACAGTATGAATGAAGGGAACTTGAATTCAGTAGAATCTTTGCTTGGTAGAAGTCTCTTAACAAAAACTCTTCTAGTTTTGGGAAAGCTGTTTGTGGTCTGTGTCTCTTTAAAGACTTGAAACAATCCTGCAGACCTTAATGTCTCAAGTTTAAAATTATTTCCTAGATGCCCTTCCAAATAAAACTTGGTGATAGATGTGTTTGGTTGGGGACAAATTTGGGATTCCTTGTATATTAAGGTGAGTGGAGAAGGGTAATTAAAATTCTGGTTATTTGTAAATGTCAATGAAACCAACAGAAGCAGCTGTAAAAGCAGTATGTTGGAATTATCCAGGAAACAGATTCTGGACAGTCACTAGGGCTAATACATGCCCTGTTGAAGGCTGTTGTTTAAAATCACAACAAAACAAAAACCCTATAGCATGCTAAGACATGAAACTTGAACTTGTCCTTTCCTAAGTAGTGGAGGTCACATGCATTTGTGAAACAGTTGTGAGGTAGGTAAGGCTGTTTTCTTAGGTAGATTGAATTATTATGCTTTTATTGGGGGGGGGGTGGTCATAGGGATGAATCCAAGGCCTAGACTGAGCTGTGCCTCCAGCCCCTACAGTATTGTAAATACTTTGGAATATAGACAGTCTTGCTATTTAGCCCAGGCTGGCCTCAAACTCACTATCCTCCAAGCTCAGCCTCCCAAATATGCAAGAAGGCCTGGCTCCTGGAAAGGCATTTATTCCAGGCCTTTTATCAAAGGACTTCAGATACTTTGACTTGTATAGAAGACTTGATTGTTGCCATTCTTTTGCTTGCTTTAAAGATAACAGTAACCAAATCATGCCCCTAATTTGTTTTTTAAAAAAATACCACACATGCTTTGTGCATTTTTTGAGGGGAGGGAATGCTGGGGCTCTAGTCCAGGGTGTTGTGCATGCTGTGCAAATGCTCTACCACTGAGGTACATCCTCAGCCCTATAATTTCTTCTTGTATAAAAATGGACTAATAGCTATAGTTCCTTAAAGAATTTATCAAATGAAATGTCTCAAGAATAAGTGTATCTTCCTCCTCTCTTTGAAGAAAGCAAAGTATGTGGTGGTGAAAGTGCTGATAGAAGTTAAAAACATTTTGCCTATATTTAATATCTAAACTCTTTTTCAATTTTCAGTATCCTACCTTGTAAATACTGTTATTTGTATATACTGTAAATGATGACGTCGGTGGGCACTAACCGAGCCCGGGGAAACTGGGAACAACCTCAAAACCAAAACCAGACACAGCACAAGCAGCGGCCACAGGTAAAGAATCCAAGGGATATGGATCCATGGATAATTTTGCTGGTTGATACTGGTTTCCATGCCGTATAGCATCATTTGGATTGGAGGTGTGGCTCAAATGGTAGAGTACCTGCTTTGCAAGTATGAAATCCTGAGTTCAAATCTCAGTATTGCCAAAAAATTTAAAAATTCCTTAAAAAAATATGTATATGTATACAGATATATATCTGTATACATCATTCTATGCTTTGGTCCATATTCTTGCCTGGTCCTTGGCTCTTTTTTTACATTCAGTGATACAACACAGTTTCCTTTTTTTGTTCCGTAGTGTATTATGAAGCTTAGTGCTTCTTTTTGAGTCCTGTATGTTGTGTTTGTAACATAGCATTTCCCTTCTATTGACTGGGCTATTTCAACATACATTTCTCATTTCCTAGACCTACCTTGACATCTTTCTAGCCAGTCTTCATCTTGACACCTTCCTCCTTCCAGAATTTGTCTTTTGGTCCCATTTCGCCTCTGATATCCTTAAGGCCTTACCTGATTTTTCCTCTCCCATGAGAAGCAGGAGTCATCACTGTGTTCCTTCAGAATTAAGAAATGAGACACCCTAGAGCATTGCTCAGTTTTAGATCTTAAGGAATAAATTAACCTCTTGGGTATTAAGTTTAATTTAGATGTGATCTGTGTTCTATAACTAGTTTGGTGTGTGTTGGTACCCAGTGTGAAGGAATTACTTGTGATTTTTCCAGTAGAATTTTCCAATTTAAGTACCATTATAAAATTCTATTAGAATTTTAGTACTTAATCTCAACAGGGGCAATTTCTGGTATCTTTATATACATTGGATACTTAGAAAATATGGGCTAAATCTTACAGTACTTGGAATAAGAGGTTAGCATTGGCAATTAAAGAAATAGAAACTTGGTTTGTGCACAATTATGCAATACTACTTGAGGTTTTTTTTTTTTTTTTTTTTGGTGGTGGTGGTACTGGAATTGTTCTTGTCTTGCTACACAAGTTTCTGCCAATTGACCGTGCCCCATTGTAACTTACAAATACATTAATATGAATTAAGAGGCATATGTTTCAAAGTGGTGCTGTAATTCCAAAATGAAAGCCCCTTTAACTATGAGGATGGTGAAAAAGCTCATTGCCCTTTTTGGGATTGATATACTGAAATATTTAGACCTTTGTCCCATTTCTGTCCTTTTGTTAACTTCAGCATCTTAAACAGTGCTTTAATGGTTGGTCATTTTTAACCAGGAGAAAAAGAAACTAGGGTGGTAGGGAGGGTAGAGATTAACTACTTAAGGTCCCTCTTATTTCTCTAAACTCTTATCTCTTGATTAAACTTACTTTCTTGGGGGGTGGGGTGGGGTGGGACTAGGTTTTGTACTCAGGGCTCTATGCTTGCAGAGCAGGCACTCTCCTGCTTGGTCCACACATCCAGTTTATTTTACACTGGTTATTTTGTATTTTATTTATTTTTTTGGCAGTACTGGGGCTTGAATTCAGGGCCTCACACTTTCTAGACATGTGCTCTACCACTTGAACCATTCTGCTAGTCCAGCCCTGGTTATTTTAGAGCTGAGGACTATTTCTCTGGCTGGCCTCAAACCTTGATCTTCCAGTTCTCATCTCACATAGCTAGGATTGCAGACAAGAGCCTCTGGCATCCTGCTTGATTAAACTTTTATTTTTGGTACTGGGGTCTGAACTCAGGGCCTCGTGGTTGTTAGGAGGTACTGTACCACTTGAGCCATTCCGCCAGCCCTTTTTTGAGATAAGGTCTTAGGAATTACTTGGCGAGGCTGGCCTTGAACCTTGATCCTCTTGATCTCTTCTCAATTCCTAGGCCACTGCAGAACAAATTCGACTTGCACAGATGATTTCGGACCATAATGATGCTGACTTTGAGGAGAAGGTGAAACAAGTGAGTATACCACTAATTTACTGAAAGCTTGGGGAAAAGAAATCAGAATTAAAGCATGATTAGATACCATGGATACCCAACCAGGATACTTTCTACTATATGTTTTGAAATAATTGCCCTGAAATATATGTTAGACTAATAATTAAATGCTTTAATTGTCTGATTTATTGTACCTCTTTAGATAGATACCTTGTTCATAGAGATTTTAATCTTAATTCTGACTTTATCGAATGTCTTCGTCAGTGCCTGTGTGTATGCGTGGTGATTGAACCCAGGGCTTTGTGCAGGCTGAACTTGGACTCTACTATTAAGATGTGTCTTCAGCCCTTGTTGTTGATGCCATGTTACAGTAACTTTGAGCAGTTTGGGATCTAGGGAATGTGGAAACTGATGGTATGCTAAAACCCGTGTGTTCCAGGCTTTGATTTTCCATTTGATGCTTAATTGATTGCTTTGTAAATACTTTTGACCCCATTCCTAAACTACAGGTGTTAATACTTTGCTTTTGGAATTAGAATTACAAAATTTTACATGTTTTGCTTTCTTGTCTTTTTTTTTTTTTTTCCCTTGGTACTGAGGTTTGAACTCAGGGCCACTCCACCAGCACTTTTTTTGCGTTGGGTTTTTTCCAAGATAGGGTTTTGTGAACAGTTTGCCCGGGCTGTCTTCAAACCATGATCCTCTTGATCTTTGCCTCCTGAGTAGCTAGGATTACGGGTGTTAGCCACTGGTGTCTGGCCCAGCCCTTTTTTAGTGATGGTTCTTTTTGAGATAGGGCCTTGTGAACTTTTTGCCAGGGACTGGCCTTGAACCTCGATCTTTCTGATCTCTTGCCTCTTGAGTAGCTAGAATTACAGGTGTGAGCCACCCACACCTGGCTAAGTTTTGCTTTTTAAGCCTGTTTTATTTTCAAACTTGGTTGGTGTTTCTTCCCTTCTAATTTCTGTTTGTGTGGAGTGCAAGCTTCTTCATGATGGTTGCTGATTTTTCTCTTTCAGTTGATTGACATTACAGGCAAGAACCAGGATGAATGTGTGATTGCTTTACATGACTGCAATGGAGATGTCAACAGAGCCATCAATGTTCTGCTGGAAGGAAACCCAGACACGGTAGAGTGCTAATAAAGTGTTTTTGAATGTGGGTCCTGGGTTGGGAATCTAGTAGTATTTGAAATCTAGTAGTGTTTACCACACTAGTAGTGTGGTAAGTCATCTTAAATTTTGTTTTGTGTTTTAAATTTTTGGTGGGATTGGGTTTAACTCAGAGCTTGATGCTTGAGCAGGCACTCTATTGCTTCAGCCACACCTTTGGGCTAAATCATCATAAACCAGCATGCTTTATTCTCGAAAGAGAGGAGAGAAAATTCTTGGAGATTGTTTCCTGCAGGTTGCAGATGTTTACAATTTATATGTAATACAGTCTCCTCATGGGAATGATGGTTATCGGAGAAAACAGGTGAAATCAGTCTCTTATTTGTCTGGAATAAATTATTGATTCTAGGTTAATGACTTTTTTTTTTTTGGTTGTACTGGGGCTTGAGCTCAGGTCCTTCACCTTGAGGCCCCTCCCCCCCCTTTTTTTTCTGTGTTGTGTATTTTCGAAATAGGGTCTTTAGAACCATTTGCCTCGGCTGGCTTCGAACCTTGATCCTCCTGATCTCTGCCTCCTGAGGCTTGAGCCACGAGCACCTGGCTGTTTTTAAGGCTTGAACTAGTCTAAATTAGAGGTGCTCCTTGATAAGCCCTAGTTAATAATCACTGAAGATTTCTCCTCATCTTTTTTTTCCCGTTGCTGTTGAAGAAAGTCACAAACTACTTCATTTTTGGATTCCAAACATTCCCATTTTCATCAATATCACCTTTCCATTACACAATACTGTTTCATTGCCTTAACTTAATTCTGTTGAGGTAGCAATGAAACAAGCTTTACAGCCTGTCAACCGTGGAACCAATAAGAGGATACCTTGCTTGCGCTGAAATTTAGACAGCTTGTTTTCATTTCTTTCTACTTAATGAGAATTAACTGGGGTTTAGACTTAGTGCTTCTTACTTGCAAAGCAGACATTACTCCTTGAGGCACACCTTTAGCCCATTTTGCTCTGGTTATTTTTTTGGAGATGGGGGGGGGGGTCTCACTGTTTTTTTTTTTTTTTGGTAGGACTGGGGTTTGAACTCAGGGCTTTGCACTTGGAAAGCAGGCACACTACTGCTTGAGCCACACCTGTACTCCATTTTGCTCTGGTTAATTTGAATATGGGGGTCTCGAACTATTTGTCTGGGCTGGCCCCAAACCACGATCCTCCTGAACTCACCCTCCCAAGTAGCTACAATTACAGGCATGAGCCATCAGTGTCTGAAAGAACTTTCTTTTCCTCTTTTTTTTTTCTTTTTGTAGTACTGGAATTTGAACTCAGGACTTCATGCTTGCTAGGCAGGTACTCTATTTCTTGAGCCACTCCTCCAGACCTTTTTGGGGTTGAGTATTTTCGAGATAGGATTTCGTTATTTTCCATACTGGCTTTGAAGCACAATCCTCCTGAGTTAGCCTGAGCCACCAGTGCCTGGCAAGAATTTTATTTTCAAGTAAGAAAGTCACCTCAGCTAAATACTGGAGGTTTGTTAGATTCTTTGAGATAATAGGAAATAATATTTGGAGACTTTTTTGTGTGGTGCTAGAAAAAGAACACAGGACCTTGTGTATTCTAGGCAAGCATTGGACTTCAATGGGTAGATTTTTTTTCTTAAGAAAATTAAATTTCTTATTATTGACCTTATTTGAAAATTCACTGCCTGCATAAACAACACAACAGTGCTTTTTGTTCATTTGGCGTTTACTCCATAATAATTGTCTCAAAATTTTTTTCATGTGGAGGAAGATGTGGGACTTCATGCTTTTTAAAAAGTCTTTATTTTTTTTTTTGCACAAGCCACATTTTTGTTTCACCTCTGTTTTCTGTCTAGTACTATAAGTCTGACCTTCCACAATATCAAAAAGGGAAATAGGCTAAATAATACAGGCTTATGGCACAAGTAAAGCTACTAGTGAAAACTAATGGGAAGCAAAAGTCAGCTGTTAAAACTGTTGAATGTGTTTGGGTAGGTGAGATTCTATCAGAAAAGGTGAAGTGTCTAAGGAAGATCATCGTACTTCTCTTTTACTTAAAGAAGCCATCTAGTGCCAGCAGCTAATATACACTCAGGGGAAGGAGAAAGGTGACAGTCTCCTTAGACTTGCCAGGTTTTGAAATTAGCATAAATTCAAAAAGCTGTTTTTAGTCTAGTTTCCAGGGTTCCTGGTGCAGATTTAGCTATAGGGTTATTATGACCTATCAATTGAAGCTGCTCTGAGCATCAAGTGACAGACCAACTTGGGTTAGAAGAGTGGGTGGCAAGAAACTGCTGAGCTCTAGGTTGATTTTTTTTTTTTTTTTTTTTTTTTTTTTTTGTGGGACTACAGTTTGAGTTTAGGGACTCAGCTTGCAAAGTAGTTGTGCTTTAGCCATGCCTCTGGTCCACTTTACTTTGGTTATTTGTAGACAAGGTCTCACTATTTGCTTGGGCTGCCTTTGATCCACAGTCTTCCTGATCTCACCCTCCCAGCTAGCTAGGATTATAGTCATGAGCCACCTGCATCTGGCTCTTAAAGTTTTTTATAAAATTGCTGTATTGGGGCTAGAAGCATGGCTGAAGTGGTAGAGCACTTGCTTAGCAAATGTGAGGTCCTGAGTTCCAATTCTCATAACTGCCAACAATATTTTTTGAAAAGTTTCTGTATTACTACTTTAATTAAATGATTTATTGTACGTTCCTTAGCATATATTGATAAAGCTTTTATCATAATTTTACTTTTTTTTGTAGGGGATGCTAGAAATTGAACCCAGGGCTTCCTGCATGCTAAGTATGGGGGGGCTGTGTACTGTTGAGCTATATATCTCCAGCCCTAAATTCACTTTTTTTTTTCTTTGAGGTACTGGGGATTGAACATAGGGCTCTCACATGCTCTACCACTTGAGCCATAGCCCCAACCCTTTTTTGTGTTTTGTGTTTGAGATAGGGTCTTGCTAACTTTTTTTGGACTGCTTTCAAACTTGGGATCCTTCTGAGTAGCTGGGATTACAGAAATGCACCATTACACTTGGCTTGACTTAAATTTTTTTTTTGCATGGGGAGAAGTACACTGGAAATTGATCTGAGGGCCTAATGCTTGCTATGCAAGCATTCCACATTTTAACCGTTTTTAAATGTTTAGTTCAGTGACAGCATGTACATTCCCAATACAGGCAGCCATCAGCACTATTTCCAGAACTTAGTGGTCATCCCCTAGTAACCTCTATTTTCTCTTTATGTGCATTTGCCTATTTTAAATATCTCATATAGGTGATATCAATACAGTATTTGTCCTCCTGTGTCCCAACTTATTTCACTTAACATGATATTTTCAGTATTCATTCATATTGTGGTATAGGTCAGAATTTCATTCTGTTTTAAGGCCAAATAATATTTCATTGAATGTGTATACCACTTTTTATTTATCCATTTATCTATTGATGGGCACTTGGAATTATCTGGAAGTAAGTTATAGACATAACACTTCTTAAAGACTTCAGTATGCTTTCTTTCAAGAGAAATTCTTTCATAAAACTATATAACTTACTTATCCTAAGAACATTAATAAAAATTTCATGTTACGGAATACTGGGTTCATATTCTATTCTTTTTGTGGTACTAGGAGTTGAACTCAGGGACTCATGATTGCTAGGCAAGTGCTCTATCACTTGAGCCAGTCCTCCAGTCCTTTTTGCATTGGTTGTTTTTGAGATTGGGTCTCACTTTATACCCCATCCTGCCTGGACTGGAATCATCCAATATGTGCTTCCCCAAGTGGATGACAGGCATGTGCCACCACACTAAGGCATTGGTTGAAATGGAGTCACTTTTTGCCATGGCAGGCCTTGAACTGCAATCCTCCTGATCTCAACCTCCCAAGTGGCTAGGGTTGTAGGTTAGGATTGTAGGCTTGAGCCACTACATCTGATCTGGGTTCATATATTGCAAGTTACTAGACATTAGATAGCTGTTGATTAGCACCAGGGCTATAGTTTTTGTTAAATGGTATCTAAGATAGTGAAGGTCTAATAGTCTTGGTATTTGTTCTGGAACTTTGCTTTGTACAGGGACTCAATAAATGCATTTTTTGTTTTGTGGTGTTGGTGATTAAACTTGGGGCACTGTACTTATTAAACAAGTGCTGTACCACTGAGCTATACTCCCAACCCTATATATGCATGTTTTTAAAACTTTATGTAGTTCATCTTACTGAAGAGTGTTTTCCAATGGTATTTATAGCTTATTTTCCTTATAAATTTTCCCTCCTACAATTTAGAATGTAGCATAGATATGTGTAGTTAGGAAATCCATAATAACATTTTGGTCAAAAACAGAATATCTGATGGTGAACCAGTAATAGGCTAAGTAAACTTAAAGTGTAGTAGGCTATCCCACGTAGGTTTGTGTAAGTAACACTACAATGTTTGCCTTATGGTATATTTCTCAGAACGTATTCCTATTGTTAAATGGCATAAGGATGTATTTTCTTTGGGAAAATTAAATTGGATTATATCAGTTTAAGAAGTATAGGGAGATACTGGCAGAGTGACTCAAGTGGTAGAGTGCCTCCTTAGTTTGTGTGAGGTCCTGAGTTCAACACCCAATGTATAGGGAGAAAAGACAGTGGGTAGAACCTGGATGGAAGACTTCCCATAATATATATGATTCAGGGTCAAGCCTGTGTCTATTGTTTGGTCTTTTAAATGAAATATCTGTGTGTGTGTGTGTGTGTGTGTGTGTAGTTGAAGGATAGTTACTGTTATCTTCCAAATTTATGTGTGGTTTGATCAGAGAATAAGGCCTATGGCTAAATGCTGCTCATTCATTCTGAATTTATAGGTAACAGAAACTTACAGTGTTATTTTTTATTTGGTATGAATAAGAATGTAAAATGTTGAATCCAAAGAGAGCAAAATTTTTTTTTTTTTCAGATTGGGGCAGGTACTTAACAGGGGCCAGTTACTAGATTCTTTGATACACTGAGTGAATGAAGTAGATAAAGATTGTTTCTGTAGTTCATTACTTACAACATACTTCCCGTACAGAAAGTTTTGTTTTTTTTTTTTTGTAGTTTGTACTCAGGGCCTCAGACTTGCTAGGCAGACGCTCTACCATGGCCAGCCCTTTTTAATTTAGCCAGGCACAGTAGGGAGCATCCATAATCCCAGCTACTCTGAGCTGAGGTAGTTGGATTGTGAGTTTGAGACCTGGGCAATAAAGCAAGACCTAATGTCTAAACAAACATACACACCAAGGAAAAATCTCTTTAATTTTGGCAGAGATAGGTATAAAATTTGATTTCACATTTTTGCCTGTTTATTCCAAACAGAAGTAAATTAATGGGTGTCTTAAATGTAGATGCTGAGAAAATGGTTGAAAAAAAAAATCAGTTTTCTCAAATTTTGTCTTTGGTGTCCTTATTAAAGTCTGTATTGATTAGATATGAGTGCTCTACCTTCCTTTAGCATTCCTGGGAGATGGTCGGGAAGAAGAAAGGAGTCTCAGGACAGAAGGACAGTGGCCAGACGGAATCTAATGAGGAAGGAAAAGAAAATCGAGACAGAGACAGAGACTATAGTCGGCGACGCGGCGGGCCACCAAGACGGGGGAGAGGTGCCAGCCGTGGACGAGAGTGTATGCATGGGGCTTTATCAAAATCAGCTGTGGGTCAGTAATGTCTAAACTGCAGGGATATGTCAGGGACCTGCTACGCAGGACCCAGGTGTCATACACCTTTTTGTTTTTCTTTGAGACTTTGGCATCTCTTGCATGTACTCTTTTCTAGCAGTGGCTACTAATTTGGCATAAAATTGCTCTGCATTCATTTGTATAGCCCTCTGTGGCTTATCAATATTCCCTGAGTAGCCTTTGTGTCCCATCCTTCCAGCACGTATTATTTTGTCTCCTTAGCACTATATTGCATAGCATTTATATATTTGATGTTTTTGTGTATATCCCATTGACCCTGCTCTGGCTGTGGGTTTTTTTTTTGTTTGTTTGTTTTGTTTTTTATATTTCAGTTCGTGGTCAGGAAAATGGATTGGATGGCACAAAAAGTGGAGGGCCTTCTGGAAGAGGCACAGAAAGAGGCAGAAGAGGCCGTGGCCGAGGCAGAGGTAATTATTTTGTGGGGTAATGGATATTGGGGGACAGTTATATAGGGGTTATTAGGGGTCTATTTCATTTAAAAACAAATTAGTGTAGAATCTGGTTACCTTAATTGTTGAGGTGACATACATATATTAGACATTGCTGAAGTGGAGAATGGGAAAGAAGGTAAATGTCAACTCTAGTCTTCATTGCTGATGTTATTGTGGCTGAAGACTCAGCAGTTTAAGCAGCAAAAGAATCATCAACAGTAATGATTGTTCTTCGTTTTGTTAACTGATGTGCTGCTAAGAGGAAGGGCATCTGATAATATCAACTAGTTAGCATTCCAAAGCTGCCTCAGTCTTATATTCTAAAATACTTCTCTGCTCCTTTTTTCAGGTAGCTCTGGTAGGCGGGGAGGAAGATTTTCTGCTCAAGGAATGGGGTGAGTTTCACTGATCCAAGGGTGGTATTATTATTATTATTATTATTATTATTATTATTATTACTTGGTGGGTACTGGGGTTCGAAATCAGGGCCTCATGCATGCTAGAGAAATACTAAACTACTGGGCTCCATCTCCAACCCTAGTGTCTTTAATTTTTGTTCCCTGAGAATCTTTATAGACCTTAACTCATCATAATGATCAGAATGATTTCTAGACTTTCTTAATCAGAAAGATGTGTAGACTTTGATTTCATTTCTCAGGCATTTACCACCTAGATCATTTACCTCTGTCTTATATGCCATGATGTTTTTGGGTAGACTGATAAGTAAGAAAAAATCGACAGCATATGCAATTATGAATGGGCATGATTGATCTGTATTAGGAAGGAGAGTCAAGATTCTGATTTTACTGCTTGAGGTAATATTTGCTGGAGTTGCTTTTAAAACTTTTTTTTTTTTTTTGGTGGAGCAGGGATTTGAATTCAGGGCTTTGAGTGCTTTTTAGAGACTAAATCTTTATTTATTTTTTTTTCAGAACCTTTAACCCAGCTGATTATGCAGAGCCAGCCAATACTGATGATAACTATGGCAATAACAGTGGCAACACGTGGAACAACACTGGTCACTTTGAACCAGATGATGGGACGAGTGAGTGACTGCTTTTCATTTCTTGTCTCTGGGAATGAAGGAATTATTTTACCCCTTTGCCATACTGTATATTGAGCCCAAAGCTTGTGCATGCTAGGCAAGTGCGCTACATCCTCAGCCCAAGAAATTTTTTTTCTTTTTTTCTTTTTTTTGGGGGGGGTTATAGCTAACATTCTAAAAGTGGGGGAATGGTATTTGGGTATAAAGATAGGATAAGAAAGAGATGGTGAAGTAATTAAACTACTGTTTATTTACCATGTATTTATGACACGTTATGTATGCTGTTTAACTTGGTCCTCTTCGCTGTTTAATGAAGTAGGCATTTCTTTTGTTTTTTTTTTTTTTTTTTTTTTTTTTAAACTATGGCCTTGATATGTAGCCCAGGCTTGCTTTGAACCTCTTGCCTCAGCCTCCCAAGTGCTGGGATTATAGGCATGCACCTCCACACCCATCTTGAAATAGGCATTATTTATTATCATCACTTTCCTGATGATAGAACTAAGACTGAAAAAAGGTTATGAATTTGCTAGTAATTGAACTCAGAATTATTTGATTCTAAAGCTCATGTTCTTTCCATTATTCCTTGTGGCTGTCAGCTCTGGGTGTATTTCCTAGTGTTACATTAGGGTAGCTTTGTCTTTTGAAAAGATAACCAGAATCTGTCAATTAGGCCACTACTTATAGAAATGAACAGGGCCCAGAATCAAAGTCCACATTGTTGATTTTTTTTTTTCTGGTAGCAAAATAAGAGTATCATTTTTTTGCCTTTTATTTTTGAGATGTCTCAATATTTTAGTAAGAAAGGAATCTGGTTGCCTATCTAGTTTTGTTGAGTAATCTTGATGTGTTAGAGTGTTAAGGGAGTTGAGTAAGTTTGGCTTTTTTCATTAGCTGACTCTGGTGCCTGCATCTAAGTATGGTAAATATGTTACACTTGTGGGGTACACCAAGATGTGTTTGAGGATTAAAGATAAATGTTGCTTTTACTAAGCTTACCCTCTAGACTCCAGAGTGCTTTATTCTTGTGACATCATCTACCTCCTTCTGACTGAGCAAGCTTTTCCTCTTATAAAGGGGTCTGGATTAATAAGACCTAAAATAATAGGCTCTTTGACACTGTATCCATTTAAGTTTGCAATGTTTCCTTTAAAAGATCAATGATCTTTGTCTCTGGACCTTTAGGAAACAACCAACTTCTGTCTGCACAGGAGATAGGACATTCTAGGTTCTGAATGTTGCCTGCTTATTGTTCACCAAGCTGCAATCTCATAAATACATTGAAAAAGTTTCCCATGGGTGGAGGCTGAAGTGTAGCTATTGAGAAATTAGGTATTTTCTTAGATTTCTCTGTCATTTAGCTATGAAATGTTCTGTTCTAGTTAAACTTAATTTACTTTAGAGGCATTAGAACTATTCTCATTCATTTTCTAGAGACTGGTAGCAGTTTCAATATCAAAAGTTACTGTTTCTGAGCTGTAGCTTGAGCTATAGTTTGCTGTTGAGTATTTTTTATAAGAAAAGATAGTGGAAATTGAGGGATTTGTTTTTAGTTGGAAATAGAAGATCAGGCTTTGTATCCCAGACTTAGTCATCTTCAACAAGGATCTCATTTCAAAAACAGGGAATGGTGAAGTAAATTACTTACTTTTACTCATTAGAAAAGGAAGCAGATTTTTAAGTCTGGAATCATAATCAATGATATGTGGCTGAATGTAATGGTATGTGATGTCACTGTAATCTTGTTAGTGTGAAGTGTAGGGTAGGTATAGCTCGTGCATTCCCATTGTCGTTGATTTTATGATGTGGCATATACCTTCATGCATGATCTCTTTTTGTGTTTTCATAATAGCAAATTTCAAATTCCCTTTTTAATTTGAAAACAAATTCAAACCTACCCTTAAAATATCCACAGGTGTACAGCGGGAATTATGTATTGGGGGCAGACGTTCTCATTTACAAGCAAAATTTCACTGGTTGTTTTTTCTTTTCTTTTTTTTGTTTCAGGACTTGATTTCATTGGGGTTGAGGGGTCAAATTATCCCCGAAAATTTCAGACTGCTCCTGGTATGATACATCCAGGCGCCTAACTGCCCCGGATATTTTTATAGATTTTTTATGAACTGAAATATCTGTGGATATGTCACCTTTCTGTCTTTCTGCCTTTTCCTCCCATTTTCTTTGGCCACTTTTCCTTCTTAAAAATTTAATCATTTAATGAACATTTGACATTTACATTGACTGAACTGTATCCTGAGGGAATCGAAACCCTAATCTGTTGTTCAGAGCATTTCCATCTTAATATTCCTTGCTTCCTCAACATAGCTCTCTTTCTTAGCCATGATCATAATTCCTGAATAAGAAAGCATGAAGTAGGTATCTACACTTTTCCTTTCTATCCCTGTTCAAGTCACCAGAGTAACCTAAAGAAAATTCTTGCATAAAGATTTTAGATTAGATAACTTCTTAGTTCACTTCTAAGTCTAGAATTGTGCATAACTCGTTTGAGTTCCTTTTTAACTAGGGTGGGACAGATGTCAAACAGGAGAAAGAGTGGTGGTATCACTAGGAATGGGGAAGAATGTGGTTTGTAACTTGTCTAGACTGAGATTGGATTTTGATGTTGAAAAACATTATCAATAGAATGTGGTTGGGAATTTCCACAGTACAGATTTAAGATTTTCCTGGGAAAGTCATAATAGTGAGTGTATTTTTCTCTAGGAAATAAGATTTTTCATGACTTAATGTTTAGAAGAACTTCTGACTGTTTTTGTAGTTGTTAGAATATTTCTCTTCGGTGACAATAAAATATCTGAATGCCAGATTTTCGTTCTTTTTTTGAGACAGGATCTCACTGTGCAGCCCAGGCTGGTCTCAAACTCTCTATACTCTTTCTGAAGCCTTCTGAGTGCTGGGATATAAGCGTGCATTACCACACCACCTAGCCATTCTTTCTTGAGGTTTTTTTGGGGGTTTTTTGATGGGAATAGGGTTTGAACTTGGATTCATATTTGGAAAGCAGATGATCTACTACCTGAGCCATAACTGTAGTTCTTCTTAATATGGATATTTTGGATATGGAGTCTTGCAAAGTATTTGCCCAGGCTAGCTTCAAACCATTGTCTTCCTGATCTCAGCCTCCCAGCTAGCTAAGATTACAGGCATGGGCAACTCGTGCCCAGCCAGAGTCATTTCTTAATTCTTGTAGAAGCTTTCTCCATTTGGAGAGAAGACTTCAAGAGTTATCGAAGTATTGTTCTGTCTAAGAAAATAAGGGTATTCTTGTCCTTCATATACATAAATTCTTAATGTGATCTTTTGGTTGAAGGGAAGAATCCTGATTTTCATAAATATTCTCACCCAAATTTCTTATGAGACTTTCTCTTTCTGAAGTTACATGTGTACATGAAGCAAAACAAAGGAATGTGGAAGGTGGTTTGATTGCTAAGAGAGCTTTTCCATAGAAGCTATATACCAGCTTATAACACAAGGAAAGTATATTCTTTTATTGTCTGTGCCATGACCTTACAGGTCAGATTCCATGCTCTATATAAATAGAATAGTTACTGTTCACATTTGACTTTCTGTTTTTTGTGTGTGTGGTACTTGAGTTTGAACTTAGGATCCTTCTGCTTTCTAGGCAAGCACTTTACCACTTGAGATACACACACGCACACACCCTTTTGTACACACACACACACACACACACACACACTCTTTTGTGCTCTACTTATTTTCTGAATAGGGTCTTGCATTTTTACCTAGGCCCGGCTGAATTGTAGTTGTATTTGCACCTCCCATAGAGCTGGAATGACAGGTGTACAACACCATGTCCTGCTTATTGGCCCTAAACCTCTGTCTTCCTGAGTAGCTAGGATTACATATGTGAGCCACCATGCCTGGCCCATATTTGATTTTTTAATCTTGTCCATTGTCTTCCAAATAGAGCATGTCTGTTGAGCTTTCCTTATAGTTATTTAGTTAAGCCAATAAGATTTGTGAACTTGACTTATGCTGAGTATGTGTTTTTTCTTTAGTTCCAATAGCACATAGTTCTCAGTGTCCTAAGTTTGGCTTTCAGACCTGCTCTTTCATGAACCATCATGTGCCAACTATTTATGTTCTTTGTCACTGCTGTCAACCATCTTCAGACTGCCTGTAGTTTTTTTGTTTTATTACAAATAAATAGATAAACTTTGCATGTGTTGGTGTGACTTGATTGCCTCTACTTTATTGAAAAACTACTAACTGAGAGCTGACACCTTAAAGATACTGTGTGGAATCTGGGGTGTGTGTGTGTGTGTGTCTGTATCTGTCTCTCCCTGTCTGTCCATCAGTCTGTCTCCTCCCCATCTTGGACAAAAACAAAGTAGCTATTAAATCATAATCTTAGTAAATCTTACTGTGCTGAGGTATCTTTCTATAGTGTCCTTTCTTCCTACTTCTGAAGCCCAAGAATTCCTTGTGATTACTAAATTCTAATCATAATTTTTAGCTGCCAAAAATGTTAATTCATTTATGTTTTCTGTACATGTTTTGTCTGATATGTAAAATTATTTTACCTTTTTTCCTTTGTTCCCAGGTGCATGGAGAACTGCAACAGAAGAGTGGGGAACTGAAGATTGGAATGAAGATGTAGGTATTCCCAGGCCATTCCTCACTAGTGCCTTCTATCCCTAAGTGGTGTTTAGGGATAGAAAATGGGTGTGTTTCTACCCCTCAAAATGCACCCTTAAGATTCTGACCCAAAACTTTTACATCCAAAATAGTGTTCTGAGCCAGAACATTTCACATATGTTATATGAAGGAGACTGGGCATGAACAGGACTCTGGAACCACACTATGGAAAGGGCAAGTGCACTTGTGTAAGTCCAATATCTGATTGTCAAATTTATCCCAGGAAGAGATGGTGGTTGGGTAGGGCATCAGAAATGGAGTTAGGCAAGTAGGACATAGATTAACAGCTGCTGGTGGCATATGAGTGCTTGACTCATTACATTATTTGGTATGAAGTCCTATAATGGATTGGCAATAGGTACAGAGTGAAAGTGACGATACCAAATCCTTAAGCAACTGAATTGGTTGGCTCTGAAATCCTTTTATTTGCTTGAAGCCCAATCTGCATTTGTATTTGAGATGAATATATGAACAGTTGGTTATCTCTAAGTTTGAGTCACTTTGGAAAACTCATAGGTGGGTGATACCTAAACAGGCTCTGAATTTACTTGAGTACTACCTGAGCAAAAGAATTTACTAATTCCTGGTCACAGCTTTGATTGTGAATTTCAGTTTTCAGTGATCATGGATAAACTCATTAAGATTTTAAAATCTGCTTTCCTGTATTTATATATAATGAGGCATAATAGCTTTTGTGGCTAAGAGGAAGTGATATGTCAAAACTGGTTGCCAGTCCTGGGTTTCTAAAACTAGATGCAGCAGGATCAGAGGATGATTATTTTCTGTTGGAACTGGGCTAGTTAGACTGCCTTCTGAATAATGGACAAATTTTACTTTCTGAGATTCAGGTTGTCTGCTTCAGTAACTTACAGAGAATGATGTATTTGGTATGTTTCCATTTATTAAAGAGAGATTTTAATTGGGAAGAAAAAAAGCAACTTTTATGTAGTAGAGTTATTCTCTACAATTAATGACCTAATTTGCGTGTCTTAAGAGTGTAATAAAGTCATTATAAAAGCAAAAATGGCATGTAGTTAAGTTTATTCCTAAAAAGATTTACCTCACCAGCACTTGGGATTTCACTGCTCAAAAGTCAAGAGTTAACTTTTCCTTCCTTCCTCTCTCCCTCCCTTCCTCCCTTTCCCTCCCTTTCTCCCTCCTCCTCCTCCTCTTCCTCTCCCTCTCCTTTTACCTCTCCCTCTCCCCCAATTTCTCTCTCTCTCTTTCTCTCGCTCTCTGTCTGTCTCTCTCGCTCACTCGTTCACTCGCTCTCTTCATTGTGATCTTGGTCTTTTCATTAGGGGAGAAGAGAATAGTAGAAAATAAGTCTGTTGGTCAAACTTGATGAGCATTGGAAGGTGTAATGGAAAAATACAAAGGAATTTTCTCTTTTTGTTTTTTTAAATATGATTAGCATATATAATGTGTTCCTGTGATTTCACTCTGCATATGGTGGTGTGACTCATATTTCGTGGGTCTCTTGGTTCTGCCCTCTATGGATAACCTGGAGCAGGCTTTTGAAGGTCAATCCACTGAGGATTCCTCAGGGTAGTTAGTTTTTTCTTTATAGTTTTCCTTTTTCATGGTGAATTCATTTTATCTATCCAGATTTCTGACGTTAGCTTAGCTGACATCAGGAGTAACTAATTCTTCTGTTTTCCAGCTTTCTGAAACCAAGATCTTCACTGCTTCTAATGTGTCTTCAGTGCCTCTGCCTGCGGAGAATGTGACAATCACTGCTGGTCAGAGGCAAGTGTGTGTTAAAATTCAGTAACTTTTGCCAAAGAGATCTGCTGAGGTGGTGATAAGGAATAGTAGCACTGGCCTTTATAAACTCCCTTAATGTTATATTAGTGATAACCATAATAGATTTCTCTTCTCTTGATTGAGAGAGTTGTAAGTGTTAGTAGTAGTTACTGTGCTGAATGAAAGTTCTTATGGTATAAGTTTTTTTTTAAACTATTTGTCTATTTTTGCCATACTAGTGTTTGAAGTCAGGGCCTATGCCTTGAGCCACTCCATCAGCCCTTTTTTGTGATGAAGGTTTTTTTTTTTTTTTTGAAATAAGGTCTCATGAACTATTTGTGATCCTCCCGATCTCTGCCTCCTGAGTAGCTAGGTTACAGGCCTGAGCTACCAGTGCTTGTCTTCATATGTTATAATTTTAAAGTTAATTTTTTCCTATCATAGCTCCTTAATCACATGGATCAGCCTGTCTCATCACTAGCATTGACTATGTGATTTGTACTATTTTTGTTTTTGGTGGGACTGGGGTTTAAACTCAGGGCTTTGTGGTTGCAAAGCAGGCACTGTACCGCTTAAGTCATACCTCCAGTCTGGTTATTTCAGAGATGAAGTCTCAAAATATTTGACCCACCTGAGCCACTCCACCAGCCCTTTTGGTAAATGTTTTTTTCAAGATAGCGTCTCTCAAACTATTTGTCTTCTGAGTAGGTAGGTTTATAGGTGTGAGCCACTGGCACCTGGCTTGAAGATAGTTTTTTTTTTTTTTAATTGCATCTGTACTGAATATGTGCACACTTTTCCTTTGTTGTAACATAATATAAACAATATAGTCTATCAAATATTTACACAGCATTTATGTTGTATTAGTGTATGTAATCTAGAGATGATTTATTATATTTTGGAGGAAGTTTGGAGGTTATATGCCAAAGAGATGAATGTCTGCAGATTTTGTAGGGTGAGGAGTGTCTGGGAACAACCCCCACATGGATACCAAGGGATGACTATATAGTGATTATTGTTTTCCCTAGGATAAGGACAATTCAACTTTTTAGAGCTTGAACCTAGGTATTGGTGCCAGTGGTAAAAAATGCATTCTTCAGGGAATGTTTTTAATCCCTTAAAAGTCTCTTGGATTATTTCTAGATCAGGGAATGATAGCTCTTTACTCAGAAGGTTCTAAAGAAGTGTGATAGGAATAGAATATTAGAAATGTCATTACTTCAGATAATGTATGTTTTTCCAAATCGTTGCCACCAAATGGATATTTAGCAATTTAGTTCTGATATTAACTACCTGAAGTTGGCACAGATCCCTAAAGTTGAGGGCTTAGCCCCGCAGCCGAAGTCTCCCTGTCAGTTACAAATTCAGAGGTTCCCATAACCCCTCCTCAGGTTTGATAATGGAACTACTCAATTCAGGAGTGTTTTACTTATCTTTTATTTTTCCTTTGTTTCGTTTGGTTTTTCTGATATTGGGGTTTGAACTCAAAGTTCAAACTGCTGGGCAGGTGCTCTGTGCTCTACCACTTAAGCCACTCTGCCATCCAGGAGTGTTTTACTTATTACTGGTTTGTTAAAAACTCAGGAGCAGCCAATGAGAATGAAATACATGGGGCAAGGTGTTGTGGGTGGGGCAGGGGGAGTCGACAAACAGAACTTCCTTGTCCTCTCCAGGTATCTGGAAGCTCTCCAAATCTTGTTCTAGAGTTCTTTTTTTTTTCAAAACAAAAACCAAATTTATTCAGCAGACATTTTAATTAAGAAATCCTATAAATCAGGACCACCACAGTTTCAGACACTCCGTTGCGAAGTGTACGGTCAATAGCTACATCTGAAGGATGAACAAGCCATTGAATCTTTAAAAAATTGGTTTAGCTACCTTAAAGTTGGGAGAGGATGGCACCTTACTAAAGCACCATCAAGATTCACAAGGGTAAAGCCAGTGGTTTCCCCTTCTGAAGAGTCACATTTTTAAAAGGTTTCAGTCACTCACAAAGAGTTGGTGGGTGAGGAGCCACAGAGTCTCAGGCCTGTGGCTCCAGAGGCCATAACAGAGAAGAATCTAGGGCTTTCACCCAACCCCACAGACACCAGAAAAAAGGAAAGCCGGTCAGGAGGACAGGAGATTTTTTTTATGACCGTTTCTGAGAAAGCTGGTGGCAGGGCCAAGAGTGGGCCTAGCAGAAGGAGTTCTGGAAAGAGTAAAGCACAGAAAAAACAAATAACTCTTCCTCATACGTCCCTCTCTGTCTGAGTGTCCTTGGGAGACTCCAAGTAGTGGCAAAGCAGAGAGGGCTCTTCTTGGAGCAAGAAAAAGAAAATACACCCGGGATGAATTAGCTCTTCCAGGAACACCACAGCCTCTCTTTTATAGTAAACCTGACCTTGAACCACAGGAGGCAAGGTCAAGTCATTTAAAAGTCCACATTCAAATTCAACTCTCCCCCACCTTGAAAATTCTCCACCTCCCTCCTGGCCCCATCTCCAACAGCCACCAAGAAGGAAAAGGGGATGATGCCAATCCAACGAAGGCCAAAGGTTTACATTCTTCTTCACCCCAGAATTTCTTTGCACAGCAATTGTAGCACCATTTTCAGGAAGCTCCTCCACCGGAAAATAATGAGCAAAATGTATGCTTATCATTAGTTTTCAAGTATTGTTAAAAAGCCCTCACAATTCCCACCCCTCCGAGCCTCATTAATTATCTAAATCATTGACCATTGGTAATTGCCCTTAAGTTTCTTTATTTTTTTAATTTGTTTTGGTGGTGCTGGGGATTGAACTTGGGGCCTTGCACTTGCTGGCAGGTGCTCTACCACTTGATCCACTTAACCAGCCCAGGTAATTGAACTTAATTTAATGGCCAGTTCTCCTCCCTTGGACATGGGTGGATTGAGGAGGGGCTGAATATTCCCTCTGCCCTAGTCTTTTTAGTGACCAGACCCATCCTATTGTTATCTAGGGACCCTACCCTGGCTCACCACATTAGCATAAACTCAGGTATGGTTAAAAGAATCTTATGAATAACAAAGACCACTGTCACTCACAAATATTTTTCTTTTTGGTGGGGATGCTGGGAATGAACCCAAGGCCTTGTGCATGCGAGGCATGCAGTCTACCACTGAGCTACTCCCTCCCCAGCCCCATGTCTTTATTACACCACAGGTAACTTTTGAAATTTTATAAAGCTGTGGGAAACACCTCTAAAACCCTCCATGCTCTAAAGTAACCATTTGAAGATGACATTGTGGTATGTAGTTTTATATCTTACAAATTACAATGGCAAAAAGTCAATATTAAAATCATGGATAAATGTTTCTAATTTTTGGCCCAATTACTGAGCTATGATATTAAAAATTAACATTGAAACTGCGTGGTACTGCACAGCTATAATCCCAGCACTTGGGAAGCTGAGATAGGATTACAAGTTTGAGGCCATTCTGAGCTATATATAGCAAGACTGTCTCAAAAAGAAAAAAAAGTTTTCTAACATTTGATATTTCATTAAATTAGTGTTTTCACTAATACTTAAATAACCATTATTGCTGGCAGCATCAGTGGAATTCAGTTAGCTTCTATAGTGGCTCTTATGCATCTGTTATTTTGGTAAATTAGGAATTTCAGGGCTTTGTATTTATGAATACATTTAGAAGAAGCATTAGTAAGTGCTTTCATTTTGATAAAGCCCATGGTCTGAATCAGATTCACGTGTTGGGCTGTGCTAGAATGTCCATCATTACTTAATCAAGGTCCCTTTCTCTCCCCACTAGAATTGATCTTGCTGTTCTGTTGGGAAAGACACCGTCTTCAATGGAGAATGATTCATCGAACCTGGATCCATCACAGGCTCCTTCTTTGGCCCAGCCTCTAGTGTTCAGTAACTCAAAGCAGAGTGCTATATCACAGTCTGCTTCTGGGAACACGTTTTCTCATCATAGTATGGTAAGTAGGAAACAAACCTTCCCACTAACCCTGGCACACATACATAGTCATTCCTTTGTCGAAGGACAAAATTACAAAAATTTAATTTCAGGTTCTGGTCTTGGCCTTATTTTCAATCCTAGAATCAGGCAACACTTCATTCAACAACATAGAATAAGTATTCTGTTGGACTAAGCAGAAGAGGTTTGTTTTGTAGACAGAAAAGGGCTGAAAACAGCAGAAAAAAGAACAAAAAGTACACTGGCCATTTCTAAGATACTTTTCCTTGTTAGATAAGACGGGAGTAAGGCTGAGGAATTTCATTATTGTACTAGTTGAAAGTAGCCTGTTTGGAAATATGGCTGTTTCCTCAGAAAGTTGGATGACAGAAGTTTAATAACATGGAAATTTATCATGACAACTCCGTTTTAATTCTCTAGTCTGTTCTTTTTGGACTGACTGAATCTTCTTACAAGAGAGTTTGCATCATTTATTGAATATTCAATAAATGTAATTTCCTATTACTTCTGAAGAAAGAAAATCTGGCATCAATTTAGCAACAAATTTTAATCCTTTTGCAGTCCTAATCCCCATTATTTGATGGCAGAATTGCCTTATATATTTAATCATATATTTAGAATTCCAGAAACCTGTAGTCTTTCCATATCTGCTACTTATTAGCTGTGTCTCCACTTGAATGTGAATAAGAATAAAAGTGCTTGCTCTTAGCCATGCACCAGTGGCTCATACCTGTAATCCTAACTACTCAGGAGGCAGCAATCAGGAGAATCACAGTTTGAACCAGCCTGGGCAAATAATTCACGAGACCCTATCTTGAAAAAAACCTTCACAAAAAAAGGACTGGTGGAGCAGCTCAAGGTGTAGACCCTGAGTTCAAACCCCAGTACCACAAAGAAAAAAAAAAAAGCAAAAAAAACCTTGCTTTTCTTACCTTGAAGGGCCTTAAGATAAGTTAATATAATGGATACCAGTTACACAAATGTGGCAGTGGTAGTACTACTTACTATAAGAAAGAGCACTAATGACACATGAATTTTTTTTTTTGGATGGGCCTGGGGTTTGAACTCAGGGTTTTAGACTTACACTTTCTGAGGATCAATTTTCTTTTTTTGGGAAGGTCTGGGAAAGGGGTGGCTAACGGGTTTAAACTTGGGGCCCTCACACTTGCTAGGCAGACACACTCCACCAGCCCTGTTTTGTGTTGGTATTTTCGAGATAGGGTTTTCAGTAACTCTTTCCCTAGGCTGGCTTTGAATCATGATCCTCCTGATCTCTGCCTCCCTAGTAGCTGAGATTATAGGCATGAGCCACTGGTGCCTGGTCTATTTTCTTGTAGATAGTAAATTCCTATGAAGTACTGCCTTAGTTTTGATGCTACCTTAACATTCTGTTTGTTTCTCCTCTTTCTCATTACGTGAATTAATCAGGGCTGGCATAGTGGCTCAAACAATAAGAGCACCTGCCTAGCAAGGATGAATCCCTGTGTTCAAACCTTAGTGCCACCAAAAACAGAATTCACATGTATTAATCAGTATGTTGAAGTACTTTTTCATTGAGAATAAGTGTTAGAAGATTAATTTTCCTTAAAGTTTAATAGATCTGGTAACATTAGTATTCTACTACTTATTTTTGTATACAATACAATGAATATTAGGTAATTTTCAGTATTTTTATCTTTTTAATTTATTTATTATTTTAAATAAGGGATGTTTAAACTGGGCACTGGTGGCTGGTGCCTGTAATCCTAGCTACTTGAGAGGCAGAGATCAGGAGGATTGCAGTTTGAAGTCAGCCTGGGCAAAAAATTCCAAAGACCCTATCTCGAGAGCACTCAACACAAAGGCAGTCAGTGGCTCAAGTGGTAGAGTGCCTGCCTAGCAAGTGTGGGGCCCTGAGTACAAACCTAGTACCAACAAAAAATAAATGTTTACAAATGCTGTTCCACTTTCTTTCTCCTTCCTTCTGTTTCTTCCTTCTTATGTGTAGTCTAGGCCTCAAACTCAAGATCCTCCTGTCTCAGCCTCCTGAGTGTTGGGATTACAGTCATGTACCACCATTCCTGGCAATTTTCTGTGTCTTTAATGCTTTGTTTTTGCAGAATATTTGATACTTAATACTTGTGTGAGATCATCTCTGCCACGGTCCCTCACTTTCAAGTGAACTTCTGAGGTTTTTTTTTTTTTTTAATTTTATTATTCCTATGTGCATACAAGGCTTGGTTCATTTCTCCCCCCTGCCCCTACCCCCTCCCTTACCACCCATTCTGCCCCTCCCTCTCCCCCCCACCCCCTCAGTACCCAGCAGAAACTATTTTGCCCTTATCTCTAATTTTGTTGTAGAGAGAGCATAAGCAATAATAGGAAGGAACAAGGGTTTTTGCTGGTTGAGATAAGGATAGCTATACAGGGCATTGACTCACATTGATTTCCTGTGCGTGTGTGTGTGTTACCTTCTAGGTTAATTCTTTTTGATCTAACCTTTTCTCTAGTTCCTGGTCCCCTTTTCCTATTGGCCTCAGTTGCTTTTAAGGTATCTGCTTTAGTTTCTCTGCGTTAAGGGCAACAAATTCTAGCTAGTTTTTTAGGTGTCTTACCTATCCTCACCCCTCCCTTGTGTGCACTCGCTTTTATGATGTGCTCAAAGTCCAATCCCATTGTTGTGTTTGCCCTTGATCTAATGTCCACAAATGAGGGAGAACATACGATTTACTTCTGAGATTTAGATTTGTGTATAATCTTTGATATAGACCATTGAGGAATAAATGTCTTACTTTATGTGTTAGTCACTTGGCATCACTTTGACAAAACACCTGAGCAGATTGACATAAAGGAGGCAAGATTTGTTTTGGTGCACAGTTTCAGAGGTTTCAGTTTGTTATTACTTGAGTTCATTGTTCTTGGGATGTGGTTGGCTGAACATCATGGCAGGGAACATGTGGAAGAAAGTGCTGCTCATCTCATGGCGACCAGGAAGCAGAAGGAAGTGAAAGGAGGGAGGGACTGGGAATAAGGTATACCCTCCAATGGCATGCCTCCAGGGACCTATTTATTTCATCTAGACCCCACCTTCTAGTTTCTACCAGCTCCCAATAATGCCATCGAATTAGGGATCCATTAAAGGATTAATCTGTTGATTAGGTCAGTAGCCTCATGTTTGGGTGAGCATTGTGGTTCAAGCCCAGCTTGGGTAAAAAGTTGGAAGACCCCCCCCTCTCAGTCAACCAGATGGGCAGGGTGGGGGCACCTCTGTAATCCCAGTTTGGTGTGGCGGGACATAAGTAGGAGTCTAATCTGACTAGCCCCAGCAAAAATGCAAGACCCTATTTGAAAAATAGTTAAAGCAAAAAAAAAAATGGCTGGAGGTGTGGCTCAAGTGGTAGGGTACTTTCCTAACAATTTTGAGGCCCTAAGTCTAAACCCTAGTACTGTTCTCCCTGCCCCCACCTCCAACATTGAGCTGTGGACCAAGCCTCCAACACTTAAATTTCCATCTCCAAACCATAGTACCTTGATTGGTTTTGTATAAGAAAGCACTGCTTTGTGGCAATCAGTGATTAAACTGGTACCATATTTTCTTAGTTTTTTTTTTTGGTGGTCCTGGGGTTTGAACTTAGGGCTTCATGCTTGCTAGGCGGGCATTCTGCAGCCTGAACCACTCTGCCAAACAGGTACACTAGAAAGAGAAGATTGAATCTCCTTGGAGGATTTTTTTTTTTTTTTTTTAAATGCTAGTCAAGGCCACATGGCTTAATCTTTTGGACTAGTTTTGGTTATAGTGGGGAATGTGGAGAATTACCCCCCCTTCGAAAAGTGTAAATTTTTGGAGCTAAGCATGGTGTCCACACATTTGTAATCCCAGCATTCAGGAGACTGAGGCAGGAGAATCTCTCCTTCCAAGGTCAGCTTGGGCCACATGGTGTCCCAAAATAAAATAAATTTTGCTTGGTTATCATGCAGTGATTGCCCTGTAAAATCTTCACACAAGTCGTATTGACTTGTTGGTTGTCAACTGGAGAAGTTGGGATGGCCATTTAACTTCTTTTCCTCTATGCTAAATATTAACATTCAGATGAAGTTAGTTTTGTTTGAGTTTAATTGAAGAGGCAAAGACCTGAATGGCTATAGTAAAATTTTATATTAGTTTCATGCTAATTTAATAGTTGATTTAAAAATATGAAAGATAGGGGTACTTTCCATTTGTCAGAGCTTTATCCCTGAGAAGGAAGGAATGATGGTGTTGATAATATTAAGTTTTTAATGGCTCTTTATTTTTTGAGACAGGGTCTCACTGTGTATCTCATATTGCCCTGAAATTCATAATTCTCCTGCCTCTGCCATCCTTGTGCTTAAATTTATTTTTTAATTGATATATAAAACATAAAAAATTGCACATAATAGTAAAGGGGGTTATCATGACACTCTCAATATGTATAACTTGTATAATACTCTTTCAACTTTATGAGTTACTTTTTTTTTCCCCCCTATTTTCAAATAATGTAACTGAGGCAAGGAGAGATTAAAAAATAAATTTTTTGACACTACACACCCGTGGTTTGAATCTAAATAATCTTGTCTTTAAACCTTGTACTGGTGATGACTGTGCTGTATAGTTAGTCTGGTAATAATTCTTTTTTTTTAAAATGGTCTTTCATTCTACATAGGTCATTCTTGAATGTTGAATTCCTGGGCTCAGATGATCCTTCTGTGTGTCTGTGGTTCTTGGCTTGGTAGCTTTCTTTCTTTCTTTTTTTTTTTTTTAAAGCTAGGTCTCACTATGTATGCCACACTTCCCTTGAATTCACAATCCTCCTGCCTCAGCCTCTTGAGTACTGGTATTGCAGGCATGAACCACTATGCTCAGTTTGGTAACATTCTCTTTTTGACAGTACTGGGGTTTGAACTCATGGTCTCACACTTGCTAGACAGGCACTCTACACTTGAGCCACTCCCTGCAGTCCTTTTCTGTGTTGGATATTTTTTGAAATAGGGTATTTGTCTAGGCTGGCTTTGAACCAAGATGCTTTGATCTCTGTGTCCTTAGTAGCTAGGATTACAGATCTGAGCTACTGTGCCCGCCTTGGTAACATTCTTAATTTGTCTGGTCTGTACTGGCTTTCAGTCTGGATAAATGTCTTTATTAGTAGCTGGGCAAGGTCACTGGCTATAGGTTAATCTCTTTATTTATCTATAGGTAAGCATGTTGGGGAAAGGATTTGGCGATGTCGGTGAAGCTAAAGGTGGCAGTACTACAGGCTCCCAGTTCTTGGAGCAATTCAAGACTGCTCAGGCCCTAGCTCAATTGGCAGCTCAACATTCTCAATCTGGAAACACCACCACCTCCTCTTGGGACATGGGCTCGACCACACAGTCACCATCACTGGTGCAGTATGGTAAGAAGACAGTAAATCAAGTCCTTGTATAGTCTAACATTATTGTCTGGCCTTACTGGCTGCCAGTGGAAGTGCAAAAATGTGTCCTGAAGCAAAGAGAAGGGTAACATTTTCTGCTTTCCAATAGTCAGATAGGTCAGATATTTGGGTAATAATAAAAATTTGAGTCCACATATCTGTCATCAACTTTAGCCATACATATAGTTGCAGTTTTTGTTGATTTGAGGGTTTTGGGGGGATTCTCCTTAGATTTATTTTCAGGTTGGTTTTTTTTCCTTTTTTTGTGTGTGCTGGGTGGGGTACATTATGGCATTTATAAAAGTTCTTATAATATATTAAATATACTTGAATTTACCCCCTCCATCATTCTCCTTTATCTCTTCTTCCCCCTTATCTTCAGTTTTGAAAATAACGATGTTGATTTAATTAAGCTTTACTTAAGAACAAATAATATCCAGTGATTATCGCCTATAGAAATACAATGAAATTCAGTCCTAAAAGAGTATCTGTTGACATGAGTGTTTTTTTTGGGGGGTGGGGGGAGTGGAATTGGGGTTTGAACTCAGGCTTTTGAGTTATTTTGGAGATGGGATTTTGAGAACTATTTGCCTGGGCTTGCCTGGAATTGTGAGTTCCCACTCTCAGTCTCCCAAGTAGCTAGGATTATAGATGTAAGCCACTGGCACCTGGCTGAATTTCTGATTTTTTGAGGGTCTTGTTTATGGCACTAGCACAAAACAGTAGCATTTCCTTGGGACTCAACAGCACCACTGACCTCACACTTGTTGGATTTCTTCTCATAGATTTGAAGAACCCAAATGATTCAACAGTGCACAGCCCCTTTACAAAGCGCCAGGCTTTCACCCCATCTTCAACTATGATGGAGGTATTCCTTCAGGAGAAGCCACCTGCAGTGGCTACCTCCACAGCTGCACCTCCGCCCCCCTCTTCTCCTCTACCAAGCAAATCCACCTCGGCTCCACAGATGTCTCCTGTGTCATCAGACAACCAATCTTCCAGTCCTCAGCCGGTTCAGCAAAAACTAAAACAGCAGAAGAAAAAAACCTCCTTGACTTCAAAGGTACTCCAACATTTAAGTAAATGCTGTCTCTAAGCCAAGCTGATGTGGGATTTGGGAATTGAGATTGTAAGGGTAAATTTGGAAAGTTGAAGAGAATGTTTTATTATTCTACAATTACATTGTGTTAAACTGTTACATTCTTTTCTCTTTCATCTTTATTGTAGATTCCTGCTTTGGCTGTGGAGATGCCTGGCTCAGCAGATATCTCAGGGCTAAATCTGCAGTTTGGGGCATTGCAGTTTGGGTCAGAGCCTGTCCTTTCTGATTATGAGTCCACCCCCACCACGAGCGCCTCTTCAAGCCAGGCTCCAAGTAGCCTGTATACCAGCACGACCAGGTACAGAAAATATTAACCACAACAGCTATTATTAGTATTATCTGTAACTTCAACATAGATATATGCTGCTTTCGGTACCTGTAGAATGTTCAAACTCACTTATAAATGATGTACACGGCATCTCTAACAGTACCTTGGTATCTGCCACAGCTAAAAATGCTTTCAGCACATCATTTAGTCCTTTGGTATGGGACTATGCCTGTGATGAGTACAACTTGGAGCTCCTAGGATGGCGATAGCAGTAGTATTTTAGAAAAATTGTAAGGAACCTTGAAATTAAACAGACCTTTTCTACTTCCTCTGGTAGCAGTGAAGGAAGGCCATCTTAAGTATCATACAACTGTGGAAGAATTTCAGGGGCGTACACTGTTTTTCCTTAATCTTTAGACTTAAAAAATACAAATGTCTGGCCCTAGTTTAGATCTGTTGAATCACAACTGCTACTAATGCATGTGAGTGTTTTATTAAGGTCCTCTTAGGAAAATGCCAATAATCTTAAATCTAATAAGGTTGTGGAGTTTCAGCAAAAGATGATTTATCCAGGCTGGATGCTGTTGGCTCGCACATGTAATCCTAGCTACTTAGAAGGCTGAGATTGAGAGGATCAAGGTTCTAGGTCAGTTTAGGCAAATAGTTCATGACATCCCCCCATGTCCAAAGTAACCAGAGCAAAATGGACTGGTGGTGTGGTTCAACAGGCAGAGCACCTGCTTTGCAGGTGTGAAGCCCTGAGTTCAAACTCCAGTCCTAATGCACACATGTGCGTACACGCACACACACAGACTTTTCCAGGTTGGAGATGTGGCTGGAGTAGTACAGATGTGGCTGGAATAGTACAGTGCTTGCCTAGTAATCACAAGGTCCAGAGTTCAAACCCTATGCCATCATAAATCGTTCCCTCCCCCCCACAATAAAAGGTGAATTTTTCTGTGCTAAGAGTTCATGTTTTGATGCATAGAGGTACAAGAGGAATATATCCTTTTTCTATTAACTTTTAGCTTCTTTTTCTCAAAACAACAACTTTTTTTATTTGAATCCCTAGGGCTATAGAATGTGGGGATTCTTGCTATTGTCAAGGAAAGTTATGGCAATTTCTTTTATTTGTTTCTGGAAAATTTTTTTGATTGGAATATACTTACCAGTAGTAGATGTCTACCATTTCTTTAGTATCTGCTCTATTTTGTTTCTCTGAAGTTTTTCTTTTCATTTCCCACAGTGAATCTTCATCTACAATTTCATCTAACCAGAGTCAGGAGTCTGGTTATCAGAGCGGCCCAATTCAGTCAACAACCTATACCTCCCAAAACAATGCTCAGGGCCCTCTATATGAACAGAGATCCACGCAGACTCGGCGGTACCCCAGCTCCATCTCTTCATCACCCCAAAAGGACCTGACTCAGGCAAAGGTACTGGCTTCACCAGTCTGTGGGTATTGGTTAGGAAAATAGTGGGCAAAAGTCCCTTGACAATTAGTGTTTTACATCTTAGAAAATAGTGCTAAGAAGCTGGAGAAATGTTGATTGAAAGGGTGAAAAAACACATTTCTCTGGTTAGTGAAATACAAGTTAATCTCTTGTTTGTGAGCCTGGAGACTCACAAGCAAAATCCATTCTCTTGTAGTCTCTTGCAGAATCAACCTCAAATACCTTTCACTTTTCCTCTTAGAAGATCTCATTGTTAGACTTCAGGGTGCATATCAGTAAATTTCACCTTGCTCTGCCTTGAGTTGGTGAGAGGGACAGCATATGCTAGATGTTACATGGTAGGATATCTTCACCTGTAGGGGTTGCCTTAGTCCCATAGAGTTGGTATATCTGTTCTTTCTATACTGAGATTTTAACTCGGGGCCTTGAGCTTGCTAGGAAAATTTCCACTGAGCCATGTTCCCAGACCAGTTTGTTTGTTTGTTTATTTATCAATCAATCAGTACTGGGGCTTGAACTCAGGGCCTACACCTTGAGCCACTCTACAAGTCCTGTTTGTGTTCGGTTTTCTCATTATAGGGTCTTGTAAGCTATTTGCCTGGATTGGCCTTGAACTGTGATCCTTCTGATCTCTGCCTCCTGAGTAGCTAGGATTACAGGTGTGAGCCACTGACGCTCAGTTTGTTTTTAATTTTTGTCATTATGGATCGTCTCATTATATTGAACCTCCTGTTAACTAGCAGTTTTTCCTAAAGGTTTGTTGACGAAAATTAAGCTGAGTAAATACTAACTTTGCTTGTTCATGAGTTTGTCTGTTCTTGTTCCTCTCTTTCTTATATCAGAATGGCTTCAGTTCTGTGCAGGCCATGCAGTTACAGACTCCGCAATCTGTTGAAGGTGAGTGTTCTCTGGGCTTTTTTCTCTTGGATTTTTCCTCCTCTGTCAATATTTTTGCGTTTTTTTAAAAAGTGGAGAGAACTCTGGCACAATAATCAAAACATCTGGTTATGGTATTAGCTTGGTCTACCTTGCTCATTAATCTCAAACCATGCTAAGTTTCAACTTCTCTTTATTTTTGAGTCATGGTCTCACTGTGTAGCCCAGCCTGACCTTGAACTCATAGTCCTCCTATTTTAGCCTCCCTAGTGTTGGAATTACAGGTGTGTACCACCACACTCTGCCTTCAAGTTCTCTCTCTTAAAATGGTAATGAAATCCATGTTGCAAAATGCCTGGAATTTATTTTTTTAATTGTATTATTATGAAGTAATTCACATTCTTACTGTTGGGGCAACCTGAGACTTATAGTTATTCTTCACTTTTAGACACTTCCTTTCTTCTGATGAGGTGAAGTTTTTTCTTCTTTGTTTCCAGGTGCTACAGGCTCTGCAGTGAAATCTGACTCACCTTCCACTTCTAGTATCCCTCCTCTCAATGAAACGGTATCTGCAACTTCCTTACTGACGACAACCAATCAGCACTCGTCCTCCTTAAGTGGCTTGAGTCACAGTGAGGAGATTCCAAATACTACCACCACACAACATAGCAGGTAATTTGGGGTGAGGATTGAAGTTGGTGTTGGTGAGTTTAATTAACAACTCTCTGGCCCTATGTTATTCCTTCTACCTAGCAGAGATCACGTCAGTCTCTTTTTGCTTTTGTGATTAGTGGGTCACCTGAGAGCTGTGGAAAGTGAAGACAAAAGGAGACACATTTTCCTCTTTCAACATTTGCTCTTGCTTTCTTCCTTACTACCCTGCCTGGCCATTCTACTTAGTGTATCATCTCAGACCTCCTATATTCTGTCTTATTTTCTTGGTGGTGTGTGTGTGGCTTTTTCTCTTTTTTTGGTGGTACTGGTGTTCAAACTCAGGGCCTTACACTTGATAGGCAAGTGCTCTACTGCTTGTCACTCTGCCAGCCCTTTTGTTGTGTTGGGTATTTTCAAGATTGGGTCTGGACAACCATTTGCCTGAACTGGCCTCCAACTGCAACACCCTGATCTCTGTCTCCCACATAGCTAGGATTATAGGTGTGAACCAACAGTGCCTGGTTTGCTTGTGTTAACTGAAGTTCTAGGTTATGGAGCCATAGTGCTATTGTTGATGGTGTTGCTACAGCCTTTTTTTTTTCCTTGTAGCACATTATCTACACAGCAGAATACCCTTTCATCATCAACATCTTCTGGGCGCACTTCGACATCCACTCTTTTGGTAAGTATGATACTGAGAGAATGTGGGGTTCTTACACTTTTAACTACCCAAACCCTAAGATTCTCCCAAGAGGAAATTTTTGAAAATTTCTCATGAACTCATAGTCTTACAGGAACTAGTGAAGAAATGTGTAGGAAAGAAAGCTGTGATACATTTTTCAGATCCCAACTTTATCTCTTTACTCACCAGCCAGTGTTGGTCTCTGGGGAGTTTGTCCCCATTCACTTTGCTGTCTTGCTGAACAGGATGTGCACTGAGTCTCTGTTACCATTCCTTGTGAGATGAATCTCATGGAACTTGTAGTCAAGAGATTCTTTCTACCTTGACAGAGGGCACCCTAGTATCCTCTCTTGGGTGATTGGGAAATTGATGTGATGATCATATATTTAGCAGAAAGGATTGTTTGTCTTTCCTGACCTGTGTTGCTCATTGTCTATTCTCCTTCCACTACTCCCTGTTTCTGAAGCACACAAGTGTGGAGAGTGAGGCGAATCTACATTCTTCCTCCAGCACTTTCTCTACAACGTCCAGCACAGTCTCTGCACCTCCCCCAGTGGTCAGTGTCTCCTCCAGTCTCAATAGTGGCAGTAGTCTGGGCCTTAGCCTAGGCAGCAACTCCACCGTTACAGCCTCAACTCGAAGCTCAGTTGCTACGACTTCAGGTAACCTTGTATAGGTGGGGTGGCATTCCTTTGGAATGGAGGAGATAAGTAATTGTGTGACACTATAAAAGTATTACTTGTTTTTTAGGAAAAGCTCCTCCCAACCTCCCTCCTGGGGTCCCGCCGTTGTTGCCTAATCCATATATTATGGCTCCAGGGCTGTTACATGCTTACCCGGTAAGTGGGACAGAAGGGTCTTATGGTGTGGCTATTCTTTATAGTTCTGACTTCAGGTGGAAGATTTACAATTAAAATGCATAATAAATGAGTGTTTTCACATATATGTAAACAGGTTTTTAATCTTTGTAGTTTTGGGAAAATAAAATTGATTTTAGAGAAGACACTCTGTTGCATATCTGCTGTTTGTGAAATACAGATTCTAGATCTTAGCTCTCAGATTTATTTTCTGTAATTGAGTTAATGTCCTAGTTCTGGGTCTTTTCTGGCTCTGATCTGGTTAGAATAGTTTGTCAACTAGTCTGAAAGTGAGAGTAAATGGCTGACAATAGTAGCTTTTTGCTCTGGTATATCTTTTGTCACTTTCAGGTATTCAGTATCTATTAAGATGAAGGATATTTATTAAAATTAAAGACACCTGTTTTTGACCTTTTAGATAAACATTGTACAGATAAAATGTCCAAATAACACTATTACACGTTTTTAAACAACAACATTTAAAACCTAGAATTTGGAGAAAATAAGAGTAAAATATGAATTCTTCTGGAGGAGATAAATTTTAAGCCAGAGCTGGGCACTGGTGGTATATGCCTATAATCCTTAACTACTTGAGAGTCTGAGATCAGGAAGATTGCATTTTGAGGCCAGCCAGGGCAAAAAAGTTAGTGAGATTACATCTCAACCAATACTTAGGCAGGACACTTAGAAGTCTGAGATCTGGAGGATCACGGTTCCAGGCCAGCTAGGATAAAAAAAATTGCAAGACCCATCTTGACAGAAAAAAGCTAGAGCATGGTATTGACTGCCTGTCTTCACAATAACAGTGGGAAGTGTAAAATAGAAGGATTGTGGTTCAGGCCTGCCCAGGCCCAAAGCCAGACCCTATCAAAATAACCAGAGCACAAAGGACTTAGAGGTATGGCTTAAGCAGTAGAGCACCTGCCTAGAAATTTTAAAATCCTGAGTTCAGAGTCTGTCAGTACCACCAAAAAAGTTATTTTTAAGCCATATTTTGTTGTTGTTGTTGTTGTTATTCTTTTAATTTAAGCCAGATTTTGAAGGATGTAAAAGACAGAGACTGCTAGATTAGAAAGTAAAGCCACTGTTTATATACTAGTGTTCACCCTACTGGTGTTCAGAAGTCAGCCTAGTCGAATCAGTAGTATGTAGCTCAGGAAAGCTTCAAGACTTTCCATGAATCATCTGATCTTTTTGTACCTCACTTCTTTCCACCTTAAGAAAACTGAAAGAATTTGTTTTGTTCTAAGAATGGGAATGAATGTCCTATTTAATTATCTTTCCTTTAGCTCTTTGTTTTGCTTCCATCATGACTGGTTCCCATTAATACTATTACATGTTTCCAGCCACAAGTATATGGTTATGATGACTTGCAGATGCTTCAGACAAGATTTCCATTGGTGAGTATGTGGGGTAGGACTTTAGAAATGAACTTTAAAATTAATGTTGGAAGGATTATCTCAAATGTTTACTTCCCAGACCTTCATACACTGCGTTTTAGCATATATTAAAGTATTGGGACTTGGAACTTGTTTTGGTGTTGAAACTTGAACCCAGTGCCTCAAATATTTTAAGCACATAACTACCACTGAGCTATACCCCCAGCCCAAATGGAATAATACAACTATTCACATACTTTCTACCAATGCCAGTTTCCTGTTCTATTTTTTGCGGTGCTGGAGATGAACCTAGGACCTCATGCATGCTAGGCAAGCATTCTTATCACTGAACTAAGTGCCCCCCACCCTCCTTTTTTCCTTTTTTTAATACAGATGGGGTCTCCTGGGCTCAAATGATCTTCCTGCCTCAGCCTCCCAAATAGCTGGGACTGCAGGCATGTGCCACTGCCCTTGGCTTGCCTGCCTTTCTCCTTCCCTTCCTTTTCCTTCTTCCATCACTCTCCTCTCTACTCTTCTGCCTCCCTTTCCCTTCCCCTACCGTCCTTGTTTTCTCAAAATAAGCTTGATGTAGACTGATGAAGGTATGGTATGTAGAACTTTGAAAATATTGTTGGTACCTATTGACCTTGATGTGTTCTCTAACACATATCTATTAGACCTTGCCTGACTCTGCTCATGGCCAGGTAGGGGGCACAGTATATGCAAGAGTAATTGGAGTTCATGCCAGGTCTAACCAGCTTAAGTGATTGTTCAATTGAAACACCCCAATGTTCTGATGGTTCTTTTCATGTGGATCTCATGCTAAGGAAAGAGTGGCATTTAATCTCTTTGCTTTTATTTCTCTGTTCTAGGATTACTACAGTATCCCGTTTCCCACACCTACCACTCCACTGACTGGGAGGGATGGTAGCCTGGCCAGCAACCCTTATTCTGGTAAGACTGGGATGGGGCTGAATAAAGGGAGATACATTGGGTTTGGAGGCAAGAAGGGCCTCATCCAGTTCGTACCATAATCAAGATCTTTGGCAGAAGTGTTGGATGAATATGATGAATCAGGGTTTGTGGATTCACAATCCTTCTAAAGGTGGACATGTGGCAGCTTTTCATCCCAATTTCTCTTGTCTCCCCATCATTTCTAGATGGTATCTTTTTATTACTAGGGATTGAACCCAGGGCCTCATGTTTGATAAGCACAAGCTCTTATCACTGAGCTATATTCCCAGCCCCTCCACATGGTAACTTAACTTGGTTTTCTCAGTCATACTCCAGGTCTTTTTTCCAGTAAGTACAGTGGTTGAACTCGCTTTCTGTAGTCTTCACAGCCTCTGTACTTAACTCACAGTGGCAGTATCATTGCCTTGGTAGGTCGTGGGTCTTTTTTTTTTTTGGCCTTACCTATTGTTATTCTCATTGACTTTCACTGATAGAGGTTTTATTTTTTATTTTGGTGGTACTGGGATTTGAACTCAGGACCTTGCACTTGCCTCACTGTACTGCTTGAACCAACCCAGCCCTTCCTCAGTGACTTTTCATTTTCTCTGGTCTAGCATGGAATATTCCCCCAAAGACGATCTGGAAGGAGGGAAGGGGTTGGAGATGAAAGAAAACAAGCTGGCAGAGAAATCATGCAAGAACTTTATTCTGGTAGCCTCTCTGCCACAGAATTGTACAGTTTATTTAACATCAGTCATCTTTTCTTTCTTTCTTTTTTTTTCGTTGTACTCAGAATTGAACCCAGGGCCATGAGCTTGCTCAGTAAATGCTCCACCATGTGAGTTATGGCCCCACTTCCTCAGGATTAGACTTGACTAGCACTATGCTAAATGTGTGCTGAGCACTGCAAAATAGAATTGCAAAGAAATGTAATTCAAGGAATTGAACTTTGAGCAGGAGTTCCTAAAATCATATGAAACCCCATTGATGTTGGAGTTAAAGAAACAAGTACATTTAGCCTCTTCTGTCATAGGTGACCTCACCAAGTTTGGCCGTGGGGATGCCTCCTCCCCAGCCCCGGCCACAACCTTGGCCCAACCCCAACAAAATCAGACGCAGACTCACCACACCACGCAGCAGACATTCCTGAACCCGGCGCTGCCTCCTGGCTACAGTTACACCAGCCTGCCATACTACACAGGGGTCCCGGGCCTCCCCAGCACCTTCCAGTATGGGCCTGCTGTGTTCCCTGTGAGTATCTGGCTTTGGTCTCTCTGCTTGTGGTTCGGGATCCTAACTCTGAACACTATCTTCAATTTCCATTTCTGACCTGGGAGGAGGTGATAGAGTTGGAATTAGTGGGATTAGAGTAGGGATTAAATGTTCTAGAATTAGCCAAAAGGCAGATATGATATCATACAGCTTTGTTCCCATCAGAATGTCATTCATTTCCTGTTACTACAGCATCTTTCCCTTTAGACTACCTCTTGACCTCACAGGTATATTCTGGAAATATTGGTAAGGATCCCATTCCACTATTGAAACTGTACCCAATCTACATCACAATAGGTTTCCACTTGAATACCCAGTCCCTTGTAGTAGGACAGGTGGGACAGATAGTATCTGTTATTTTGCTGCAGTTCTGGACTTTTGTTCTTTAGGTGGCTCCTACCTCTTCCAAGCAGCATGGTGTGAATGTCAGTGTGAACGCATCAGCCACCCCTTTCCAACAACCGAGTGGATATGGGTCTCATGGATACAACACTGGTAAGCTCTCCATGGCCCTGGCTCAGTGGTCTCTGTGGGATGTTACTGGATGAGATTCAGAAAAAGACTTGGTGTCTGAGAAAATGGGGTTGGTGAGGGTGTGCTGCTCTCTACATATAACCCTTGTTAGTTTGGCTGACTTCGTTGTCTGGGAACAGCACCAGGAAAGGAGCTTGATACTAGGACATGTGTCACTACTCATGATGGAAAAATGCTCAGGGTGTGTGTTGGCTAACCTGAACTTAGGGTGGGAAGTAGGATAAGGTCCCCAAGATGTTGCTGAGATGTCAGTGGAAGCAAGTGTTAACATGTATGGCACTGGTAGTATGAGAGTACTAAAGAGTTAAGTACTTTCATAGCTAATAAACTATGATAGATTCAGCTTAGGTTTTATTGTAGTACTACTTTTTCATATGACTCCCCTTTTTATTCCCTAGCTAGAAGACCTAAGGTACAGAGAAAAAGTAGTAGGCATGAGAATTAGACTGGGAGAATTGGACCCTTAGGTTCTTTCATTTGTCATATATGCAAAGTCTGTTTGCATATATGATGGCAGGGAGGCAAGTGTAGGAATCCTCTACACAATGTACTGGTCTAAAAGACCCCTTTTAGATCTATTCCTTTCTTCCATACCTGACATCTGTGCTCCACTTGTGGAGGGTGGGAATGAGGAAATAATCTTTGCATACAACAGTTCCATCTACTTTTTTTCAGTTACTTTTAGGTGAATATGGGGAAATGGTTATCCTAAGAGCTCTCAGTAGAGCTGGCTGAGTGGCTTAAGTGATAAGAGTGCCTGCCTAGCAAGTGTGAGGCCCTGAGTTCAGATCTCAGTGCTGCTAAAAAACAAACAAAACTGCTCTTAGCTCAGTTGCAGTTTTCATAATGATTTGAATAGAGCAGCATCTGTGTTCTCCCTTGTGGGCCCTGAGTGGGTATATTGCTTAAGATTTTCAACAAAACCTTAAGCATAGAAGGCAATAAATAGGTCTTGGGTATTAACAACCAGGTGGAGCTTTGAACTGTGCTATATAATCCAGAGTGAGTCATGATTTAAATTTTAAAAATCTTGAGAAGCCCCATTCAGATTTAATACCCCAACTCCTTGTGGCCATTCCTTACTAAGCAAGACCTTCTCTAATTCTTGGTGGTGGTAGGTGTGTGTGGGGCGGGGCTTACAAGCTTTTTGACTTTGGCCCTATTCCTAAAATACTAGATTTAATCCTTAGCTGGTATAGGTAGAAGAATTTTAAGAGGTAGGTAGTTGATGATATGAAAGAGTTGGCATATCTGGTTCTGGAAATTCTAGCTTCTTACCACCCTTAAAGACTTCAGAAACCTGTTACAACAGCCCTTTGAGAATCCCCAGTTCCCAACCCCACAGAGGACTCTTTCATTCTATTCCTCATCAACCTCTAAATTCATTTATTTTTATGTATTTGATTCCTTTTAGGAAGAAAATATCCACCCCCTTACAAGCATTTCTGGACGGCTGAGAGCTAATTTGGCCCAAGGCTGGGGGCTGTGTTTTGTGTGTGTGTATAAATTTGCACTGAAGTCTTGTTTCAGAAACCAAACCACTGAGGAGAGCCTGCTGAGCTGAGGCCATGGGCTACGTGGCTTGGGGAAATGAGTTGGTGGATACCTTCTGGGCTTTTGAACTCGCCCCTCCCCTATTTCCCTTTCCCCCATGTGTCTGACCCTGTCTTACCCATTTCAAGTTCAAGCGGTGCAGCACCTCCGAAGCATCAATGCACACACCTGCTGTTGCTTTTGATTTCTGGAAGGCATGTAGTTCCAACTTGTAACAAAAATATTTGTAGTCTTCAATAAACTGTGGTATTTCTTTAGCTAACTCTGGCGTTCTTTCCGTGCATGTCTTTCTGGACACTAGGAACCAATGTTGTATTGTGGATGAAGGGTGGAGGGTGGTCTTTTCAATCAAACCCTTACATAGCCAAAGAGCTGTTAGTGTTTCAGTACAGTGGTTTTTAAGGTGGGGGGAGGGAAAGAGCCTCAGTTTCCATCATGTTGATTGGTTGGTAAAGAAAGCCATTTGTAGAAAACCCTGGTCCCCCTTGCTTATGTCTTTACTTTTCCATTTAGATCTTCCCCTTGCCTCTGACATGAGCAGGAGGAAAAGGACAAAAATGTTTAGAGTGTCATAATGGTGAAAGGTAAAAGAGATACTGTTCAAAGCTGTTGTTAGGAAGTATCTTCTGGGGCTTAATTCCCACATCTGATTCCCAAAGCTGATTGAGATGAGATAAAACCATAAATGATCACATTGTTGATGACTCAGGCTTTGTGGAAACTCTTCTAGCCTGGAACATTGTTCTTAGGCCTTTGATGCCTTCAGAGATTGTGGATTATTAGTTGTTTTGTACTTGTGGGTGTAGTTTAAGGATGTGTGGGAGATGTTTGGTCAGATATCCTGATTATGGAAATTCTAATCCCCACTTAAGTCCACTAACTAGTGTGCCATTAGTATTTTGTTTAGAGTGGTAACTTGAATAGTGGGACCACCCTTGGTTATTTGGAAATCAAAGTATTCAGCTGTCCTTCTATTTGTCCTCAGCCCTCTGTAGTAATTTTGTCCTGTGGAATGTAACCCAAGTTTCCCATGGATTGCAGTGCTAGCAGAGGAGTCACAGTTCTCCCTACCACCCACATTGTATTGGGAGTGGGATTGGGCAGGGCATTTGATGTTGGAAGGAAAGCAAGAGAACGCTAATCTGAGGATCTTTGTAATAACTGTAGTGAAAGGTAGGAAAACCAATATCCATTAATTTCTAGATTCTCTAATGTTTACATTGAAGCTATTACAGATACTACACGGTATTCAGTATTCTCTTTTTCATGCATTTCTAGTCCCTTCAACTCTACATACAACTTAAGGCTTCTGGACTAGAACTGGTTTTTAGTTAGCCAAGAATGAGATAAGATAGGGTTATATTAGAACTAAATTTTTGCACAGCTCTAGGATTAAGTTAATAATTTCTCTCATTTTATGTTGGCAGTCTAGCCTCGCTTTGCAAAGGTTAATCAAACAAGCTGTGGGAGCCTTTGTAGTGAAAATAAATCATTGTCTCTTTGGGCTTATCTTTAAAATGTTTTATTCAGACAGATCTTGTGCATTCCATTTCAGTTTCAATTGTTCCACACAAACCTCACTAGCTTTAGCCTTTTCTGTAACTAAATTCCATATGCCTGCTACCCAGTGTTTTTCCAGATAGGCAGCTGGGGTTTGCAAAGGGAAAAAATATCCCTTAGCTCCTTAAAAGTTTCCTGCATTGTTCCCGTCTTTTAAGTGCTTTCAAAGTATATAGTTGATACTTTAGAGATGGTAGAGTGTTTTTTCCTCGATTGGTTTCTGTAGTTCTGTTTGTTTGAGGCAGGGTTTTACTGTATAGCCCAGGTTGGCCTAAAACTCACAATGTAGCCCAGGCTAGTTTTGAAATCTCAGTCCTCCTGCCTCTGCCTCTGCCTCTGCCTCTCAAGTGCTGGGATTACAGGTGTGTACCACCTTGCCTGGCTTGTAGTTTTTTTTCCTAGTTGGTGTTTGCTCTTCCCTGAAACTCTCTGGATTTAAAACGTGGGAGGGTTTCCCAGATGAAGATGCCACTTCCTTTTCCTGTTTGTTTTTTTTGGTGCTAGGGCTCAAACCCAGGGTCTCATACTTATTTGCCAAGTGCTCTACCATTGAGCTAAATCCCCAACCCCTCTCTTCTATTGGGAAGATTCTAACGTGATTATCCCATGTGAACATAACTTCTGAAGGCTGCCTTTGTCTTAATCGGTTAGATTTGGGTTCTGGAGTTTGAAGTGGGGACTGCTGTTGAGTTATGAGTGAGTGGAAGATTATCTAATTTGTTATTTGGTCACTACTACAGTACTTCTAAAAAACTTCCATGAAAGTGCTCCTAATATCAGAAGGAATATGTACCTCTGACAGGAAGTATCCAAGGCCATAGACAGAAATGTAATTTTTCTGATTTCATTTTATCTTCATGAGAACTAACGTCTTTTAAAAATCATGATTTAATTTCTTAGTTAAATTACTTATTTCTCAAATCTTTAAATGTGTCTAACTAGATTATCCCATGGCTTTTCCTATCTCCTTGGTCCATTACCCCATATTCCAAGAGGAATAGTGTAGTAATATGTATTTTAGTTTGAGGAGAACAAAATAAAATGAAGGGTTAATACTACTTTTGTTTCCTTAATGCTGTAATGGTAATAGGGAATTTTTCAACAGGAAACATGAGTTGGGGTATGGGTGAGTTTCAGTTTCATAGAGAAGCTGAAGTTGTAACATAAATGATGTACAGTTTCTGTGTTCTACATAGGTTATAGGAGATAGTCTATGCCATCAGTTCTTGGCCTTTTGGCTGAGATCAAGTGTAGGAGATAGTCTCTCCCTTCCTATCTCTTCCCCCTCCTCCACACTGCTGAAGTTGTGTAAATGGAAATTCATCTTTGTGCCACCAGTCCCTTTAAATTATACGGACATAGCCTAGAAACTCCATGATTTGGAGAGGCTAGACTAAGTGATTTAAGGCTCTGAGAATAAGAATACGCTTATGGACTGAAATGGACTGCTTCTGTACCTTCAAAAGTGTTGCTTGGACGGAAGGTGTGGCTCAAGTGGTAGAGTGCCTGAGTTCGAACTCCAGTCCCATCAAAAAGAACTTCAGAACAGAAAGAGCTAGACTACTCAAGTCTTCAGGGGCAGGACTGACTGGAGTTTTGAATGGATTGATTTGAAATGGATATTAAATTTATTATATTCTGTTTGGCTTTGGCACAGGTGTTTTGAGATCGTATATATGCTTGCTTCCCTCAAAAAACATCTCACCTTGCTGTCTCTTATATAGACTCCACATATATCTGGAAAGGGCAAAAGACCCTGCAGGGAACCTTTGTGCTATGTCTCAGAACTGACTTGAAGGTAGAAAAACAGACCAAAATTCCCTTGCAGTGCTGTAACTAGAAAGTCTACAGACATCACTTCATCCTTGGAAAAAAGACCAGGCAGCTAGCTGAGCTAATCCTCCTGTCTTTTTCCTCCTCCCCCAGGTGTATCAGTCACCTCCAGTAACACGGGCGTGCCAGATATCTCGGGTTCTGTGTACTCCAAAACCCAGGTAGGTGCCTGGCTCTGGGTGGAAGTGGAAAAAGAGAGATGGACATAAAGGAGTTGGAGTTGCAGTTTTAGAAAAACAGTGGGTGAGAAAACCCTAGGAGAGGTGCCAGAAACCAGTTCTACCTTTTCTAAATGAATGGTCTCTAGACCAGTTTCTCTAGGAGTTTAAATTTAGCCCTCTTATTGGATGCTGGTGGCTCACGCCTGTAATCCTAGCTACTCAGGAGAGAGAGATCAGGGAGATCATGGTTCGAAGCCAGGTCGGACAAATAGTTCGAGAGACCCTATCTCAAAAAAACACTTCACAAAGGGCTGGTGGAGTGGTTCAAGGTATAGGCCTTGAGTTCAAGCCCCAGTACTGGAAAAAAAAAATTAGCCCTTTGAGAAAAACGAGAGAAATGTCATAGGAAGGTGAGGTGTTGTAGTGTGATGTTATTTGCTGTACAGCTGTCTTGGCTTTTTTACCTACTTACTCTCAACCTTATTCATAACTTTCTAAGCGAACAAATGCGGGAATTCAAGGAAACTAGTTCATTCCAATTTTTGTGGTAAATCTAACAGAGTGGGAAAGGAAACAACCTAGTACTTAGGTGAAGTATTTGTTACTGAGTTATTCATGGTTATGTTTTGTTGTTTTTATCACCCATTACCATAAATTTGTTGTAAAGTATTAAGGACTTTGAAGAAGAACTTCAAAGCCAAGAACTTTTGTTTTTTTTTTTCATTTTTGGCAGTACTGGGTCTTGAGCTCAGGATCTTGTACTTGAGCCACCTGAGCCATGCTCTCATTCATTTTTGCTTTTTAGTGTTTTTTTAGGTAGGGTCTCATGCTTTTGCCCAGGCTAGGCTCCGACCTTTGCCTCCTGAGTAGCTAGGATTATAGGCGTGAGCCACCATGCTTGCCCCTATTTGTTTCTTTTGAAATATGCAAGAAGTTTTAATTTCTACCTGGGGCAGGGATGCCAAAGCTAGTTGGCAAATTTTCATATGTCATTATAGAGCATTAGACTTTATGAAATGCTTTCCTCCTGTTTGATTCTTAGAACAGAGTGGTTCAGTAGCATACCTGTTTTATGTATGAGGAAACTAAGGCTGAGAGATTGAGTAATTTGCCTAGGATCATTAAAGGGCAGCGTGAGACTAAGACTTTTGAATATCTAGATGACTTCAGATGCAGTGTTCCTTCTGACCATGCTGTTTTCTGAGGGTAGTGGAGCTTGGGCTCAGAAACTCTAAGGATTCTTTTGCTGATCCCTTTACTTTTTCTCCTCCTGCCTGCTGGGTAGCAGTCCTTTGAGAAACAAGGGTTTCATTCCGGTACTCCTGCTGCCTCCTTCAACTTGCCTTCAGCCCTAGGAAGTGGAGGGCCCATCAATCCAGCTACAGCTGCTGCCTACCCACCTGCCCCCTTTATGCACATTCTGACCCCCCATCAGCAGCCGCATTCCCAGATCCTACACCATCACCTGCAGCAGGATGGCCAGGTAATAGCCCTCCCCCCTCTCTCCATTTCTTTCCTCTTCCTTCCTATCCCTTAAAACTGCCTCCCCTTTTCTTACCCTTCCTCACCACCACCTTCACCCAATCCTTCCCAGTGCCAGCCAGGGGCACACAGCACATACAGACACAAGCGCACATAACATAAGCAGCTGGCAAAGAAAATGTCAGAGAATGGGCCAGATTGAAACCCATTTTGCCCAGTTCCTTTGGGACCTTTCTCCTCCACCTCCTCCCATGGCACAATTGTCCTCATCCCATCAGACCTGGGTCACACCTTCCCTCTTACCTCTCCCAGCCTTCCCCCTTCCCTGACATTATAGCTTTCCCTTCTAAAGGTGGAGTTCTATTGTCAAAGTTTGTCCCTTTATTTTCCATATATCCTGGTTCTGCCTCAGCTACCATATTTGCAGATGATTCTCTGTTGCCAGCGCCAGCAGGAGGAGCAGGTAATGAAACTGAATGATATGCTTGAACCCACTCCTTTTTAGTCCCCATTTCACCTCCACAGCCTCAGATAACTTGAAAAGACTGAGCGGTCACAAATCGGGATACACAAACACAAAACACTTTGCTGAACTCTCTGGCCTCCCCATCCTCTCTCCTTTTCCCCTTACCTCATCACCCTCTTTATCTTTCCCCTTCCCCAACTCTGGAGAACACTTGGTAACCAGATTGGAAAAGATTCATGGGGCAGCATCTGGAGCCTGAAATCTCAGACTGTATCTCTGCCTTGCCTGAATTGGGCTCACAGATGTGATGTGTGGTGTTGGGCAGACCTGTGGGGTAGTGCAAAAAAACCTCTCAAGAGCTCCATCGTAGGTGACTGGGGAGCTAGAATAAGTTCTTCCTTCCTTTCAAAGGTAGCTTTCCAAATTTCATGGAGATTAATGAAAATGGAATCACCTTGTGATCACTCATCTCCAAGAAGCCATAATTCTCATAGTTGCTTTTTTTTTCCCCCCCCAGATGGTGGTGGTGGGGGGAGTGGAAAAAAGTGTAATTGAACAGGAGAAGAACAGATTCACTAGATTATCTGCAAAAACATCTTGTCTTCTTTTCATTTTTCCCCTATTTAAAAATCAAAATGCCTTCTTGGTTTTAAGAGAGGAGCTCTACTAGTTATGGAGACCAAATTTTCTGTGGTTGAGAAGTAAATTTCATAGTAGGTTCTAAGCAAAGGGAATGAGAGAGCAAGACAGTTTGCACATCTCCATCTGAAGATGTTACAGATTGGACCCACTAACTAGACACCTTTCTCCTCCCCATCATCCTCCCATTCCCCTGCAGACGGGCAGCGGGCAACGTAGCCAGACCAGCTCCATCCCGCAGAAGCCCCAGACCAACAAGTCTGCCTACAACAGCTACAGCTGGGGGGCCAACTGAGGCCCTGACCCTCTTCTCCCGGTCCCATCTTCTGAGAGGGCTTCTCAGCCTGGAAACTATGGAAGCAGCATCAAAGAGAGAAAGGAATGTGGGGGGATTCTGCTGCCTCCCACCCTCAGCGGCCCACCCCACGCCTCAGCTTCATGTCTGTCCCATTCCCATACCATCCCCACCCTGTTGTATGTATTATAGGATTTGTATTTTCTCCTTTTTTTTTCCTTCCTTTCCTCTTCCTCCTCCCTCCTTGCATTCAAGATTATGAAACTTTGCTATGGGCCCTGCCCTTCCTTCACTTCTTCCTGTTCACCCTGGTGGTGTATGGGTGAGGTGGGGAGGGAGGGGACCCCCAAATATATATCAGCCCAACAGCCCTAAGTCTCCTCCTTTATTATTAGGAAAACAAAACAACAAAAAATGCGTCATGAATATGAACAGCATTGTCAGATGAATTAGTTGAAGTGGTTTTTTTTTGTTGTTTTTTTTTTGTTTGTTTTTTTTTGTACTGTGTCCTCAAATTTAATGGATTAATGTGTCTTGTATATATAAAACAAAAACCTCTACCTTCAGCCTCTGCCCATTCTTGCTCCGTCTAGGATATCCTCAGTCTCGTCGATGACCAGCTTGGTGAATAAGTATTACCGTATCAACTGGGCCTCTAGCAGGCCCCGAAGGCAGTGGAATAAAATGAAATCTTTGCCCTTTAAGAACTACTCTGACCTTAATGTGCTAGTATTTTGCCCTTCAAGGGATTCCCTTTCCTTCGTCCCTAAGAGTTCCACAACCTGTGCAACTGGAAAGAACTACCACAGATCTTCGTTTCCTCCAGAAACTGCCACATCTACAGCAAGTTTAAGACAGTGAAGGGAGAGGGATAGAAATTGGATGGAAAAGGGGGAGGATTAAGAAGGAACTGAGAACATTTCAAAGAATGAAATGGCTTTATGGAGTCTTAACTATGATCTGGATGGGTCCAGGCAAATAAAACAATTTGAGGGCAACATTTACTGTTGGTTGACAAAACTAAAGTTTGGGGCCATTTCCATCACTAGTACACTACAGTAAGTACTTCTTGTTTCTTGAGTATTTTCATGTGGTTTAGGTTATATTCAATCCCTTGAAAGGAGGAGTCTGGAACAAGATCTTGGGTGCTAGGAGAGGCTTTGAAAGTCAATAATGTGGAAAAAGGATTTTTTCATTTTTACTGTACAGAGGTTTGAATTTGGGAACTTGTGCTTTGTAGACAAGCACTCTACCACTTAATCTATGCCCGTAATCCAGATTGTAATTATTTTGTTAGTCAAGTGTATTAGGAAAGGTACACACTTTCAAGACTGGAAACATCATCTTTAGATAAGAGAAGAATGACCAGTTTCTTTTTTTGAAAGAGGGTCAGGCTATCTTGCCTAGTCTTGCTTCCAAGTCCTGGGCTCAAGAGATCTTCCTATTTATCATTCCCAGTGATTGGGACTTATAGAGGTTTGAACAGTCTCCTACTTACTAGGCAGGTGGCTTTTCCACCTGAGCAAGGCCCCCAACCCTTTTTTGCTGCAGTTATTTTTTGGATAGAGTCTTGTGTGTTTTGCCTGGGAGCCCCCTGAGACCGAGATCCTCCTATCCATACCGTAGCTAGGGCCACAGGTATGCACAATCACGCCGGCCTTGTTGAGATGGGATTGGGGGATAGTGTCTATAGCTTTACCCTGGTAGGCCTCGAACAGGGATCCTCCTTATCTCCGCCTCCCAAATAGCTGGGATTACAGACACCCGGCCTTCAAAAAAGTCTTCGCGCCCCTAATTTGATCCTCCTTAGGATGCCTCACTGAATTCTCCCTGGCTAGCCTACAAATCTTGCTAGTTGCAGATCCTGATTAGAAAAAATTAGGATTCTTTATGGCGGTGACTGACTCCCTAGTAGCTGGAAAGATGAATTATACGCGTCCCCATGTCTTTATTCAGCGATGGGGAACTCATACTTTAAGGAGTTTTGTAAAACACTTTGTCCATCTAACATTAGAAGTCACCCACGTCGGTCTAGAAACATACGCGACCTGGGAAAGCAGCGAGGTGGCTTCTGCTGTGTGGGTATTCGTCCCTGAGTGTCAGTGCGGTGTGAGCAAAGGCCTCGGGCCAGTCCATTCGTGCAACTGGGGTGCCCTCTGGTGGTCATCGGGGACCATCCTGAATCAAATCCTAGAAACTTCGTTTTGGGCCAGACAGGGAGTTGGACAGAAAATCAAACTAGGAGGGAGATGATCATAGGAAAATAAGAACTCGGCACGCCTGCCCCCGACAGGAAACTGAAGAGTTGGACGCACTAGGACCTTTCAAATTTAAGAAGCCCCTCCTCCACTTCCTCGTCTGGCTTACGTTCGTTTTACGACAGTGCCGCATCGCAGTCTTACTTTTCGGCAGCGTGAGCTGACGCCGCTCTCAATTTCCGATAGCGTAGCGAGACTCTACCCTGGTGCGAATGAACTGCTGAAGGGGTTCAAAGGTTCGAGTCCCACTGTGGGAATGAGCCTTTTTGACCTCTTTCGGGGCTTTTTCGGTTTTTCTGGACCTCGGAGGTGAGAGTAGTTCTGGGATGGACAAGGGAGGAGGGTGTTCTGGGGAGAGCTTGACCCTTTTACTCTATTTTTGTAAAAACTTCCTCTCCCCTCTCCTGCGGAGAGAACATAAGTCGCAACACTGAGCAGTTCCGCGCAACAGTAACCAAGGCAGTCGTTAAGAGGAGAAACCGCAATCTAAGCCTTTGTCCAACCTGGAGTGATGCAATAGAGACCTGGGTGGGGAAGACAATGTGGGGAGGGGGTCTGGGGAAATAGGACAGGAGCAAGTATGCAGGACCTTGGGAGGTAGGGGAGGGGCTGGGGGAGGAGTTAGGAGGACAAACTTTGATAAAAATGAAACAAAACAAAAACAAAACTGAGAAGAATCAGCTGTTACGTTTTGACTTGTAGCCAGTTCTCCAACATTGTCCTCAGCTTCCCATTTTGCCACCTATGCGCTGATTTTATGGCTTAAGTAGTGCTCAAATCCTGGTGCCTTATCTGCCTCCATCCTCAGCCACAGAGATCCCTTTTTTGGAGGGATGACTCGAGATGAAGATGAGGATGATGAGGAAGAGGAAGGAGGAGCCACGTGGGGTTCTTGGAACCCAAGGTTTGATGGTTCCCAGCCCCCAGATGAATTTGGCTTCAGCTTCAGCCCAGGAGGAGGGATGCGTTTCCACAATAACTTCGGTTTTGATGACCTAGTACGGGATTTCAATAGCATCTTCAGCGAGATGGGAGCCTGGACCTTGCCTTCCCACCCTCCTGGTGTGTGCATTTCCCTGAGGAAGAACCTATGGTTTTCTAGTGGGTTTGGTGGGTGAAATAAGGAGCCTGGGGGGAGTAGTTAGGGATATAAAGTGTGAGACAACTGATGATTTCAGGAAGATTTAAAGGGTCCAAGTCCTTTCCCACCCCAGCATCCTCCTGCCACCTTTCTACAGAACTTCCAGGTCCTGAGGCAGAGACACCTGGTGAGAGGCTGCGGGAGGGGCAGACACTTCGGGACTCAATGCTTAAATACCCAGATAGTCACCAACCCAGGATCTTTGGGGGGGTCTTGGAGAGTGATGCAAGACCTGAATCCCCAAAACCAGCGCCAGACTGGGGGTCCCAGAGACCTTTTCATAGGGTGAGTACTCCATCTGGGCCTAAAGTGAGAGTCTGTGAGAGAGCACTAATAAAGTACAGTGACTAGAATCCTTGTTGGAATCTGATAGACAGGTTTTGGAATTCTAGCCCCTCCATTTAGTCTATTTAACTGATTTTCAGCAGTGCTGGGGATGGTACCCAAAGCCTCATGCAGGCTAGGCAAGTGGTCTACCATTAGCCTCTGTTCTGAGCCCCTGTTTTCTATATTAAGCTTTTTGTAGGATTTTCTTTTGAGGAAAATAGGAATTCTACTCTTAACAAAAATTACTGATCTAGATGATTCTTGGATAAGGCAAGCTTGCCAAGGGAGGACAGATGCATATCATTTCAGGAAAGCTTTTTGGTAGAAGGGTATATAAAACAACCAGGAGGAAGGAATGAATAGATGAATAAAGCTATCCTAAATGGAATTATTTCTCTTGGGAAAAGGGGGTTTTGGAATTTGGGAGTAGTTTGTGGTCTATGACCCTTCAAGTTTCAGATTGAAAGAAAGGTGTCTTTTTACCTGCTATGTATGGCTTCTTCTACAGTTTGATGATATGTGGCCTGTGACTCCCCTTCCTAGAGCCAGAGAGGACAATGGTGAGTCTAGAGGGAAGGGACATTTGCCGTCCATCTGTTACTCTCCCAAACTTCTGCCTGTTAGTTCCTTCCTTCCCTTCCTCCCCTCCCTCCCTCCATCCCTCCCCCACTTTCCTTCCTTCCCTTTCTTTTCTTTTCTTTTCTTCCCTCCCTCCCTTCTTTCAGCAGATGCTCTGCCATTTGAGCCAAACCTCCTTGACTACTTTTATTATTTATTTGTTTTTGGTGGTACTTGGGTTTGAACTCAGGTCCTCACATTTGCTAGGCAGGCCTGCCTGTTCTTTCTCCCTGAAATTTCTTCTGCTATACTTGTCTATTCCCCCACCCCCAACTACAACTCTGTCTATTGGTTCTTCATCTCTCTGCCCTTCCAGATCTTGATTCCCAGGTTTCCCAGGAGGGTCTCGGTCCAGTTCTACAGCCCCAGCCCAAATCCTATTTCAAGAGCATCTCTGTGACCAAGATCATTAAACCAGATGGGGTGAGTTGCAAGACAGGCACAGAGGAACTGCGGACAGGGAATACCCTGGAAAGAGAAGCCTGTGTAAAGTAACACTGAACTCACCTTTAGTGATATTAGGAATATGATGGGGGCTTCTTATAGATAGTGGAGGAGCACCGGACTGTGGTGGACAGTGAGGGCCGGAGAGAGAGCACAATAACTCATCAAGAAGCGGATGGCAGTCCAAGAGGTGGTAAGTTAAGAGTATGAATCGAAGAAGCCCATTACTTAACTCCTTGGGGAAAGAACACTCTTACCTTGTACCTTTTACTAGTATTTTTCTCTTTTGCCTCTGGTCAGTCTTTTTCATTTAGTCTATCAATGTGTATGACTCTCTTCTTCAGAATCACCAAGATCTCCAGCTCTGGATGATGCCTTTTCCATCCTGGATTTATTCCTGGGACGTTGGTTTCGGTCCCGGTAGCTTTGTTAACCATCAGAAGCACCAGGTCCTTTCCATTGCCCACTATCAGTAAGCTTAGCTTCTTCTGTCACCTCAGGGGCTTGGGTGTGTGGAACAGTAAATTGGGGTATGTCAGTCTGTTACTCACTCAAACTGATCAATAAAACCTTTATTTATGCTAAAGGTCTTGGTCTTGGTTTTGTCAAGGCTGCTTCACTTTCCAGAACCATCTAGGGCTTCCTAAACTATCTTGGCCTATAGTCTCTTTATTTTTTAACTTTTTGTTCTACTTCCAAAACCTGATTTAATAAATAAGAGTCAGATCCTTGGCTGGCATTGTGACTCAAGTGATAAGAGTTGCTTAGCAAGCACAAGGCCCTGAGTTCAAACTCTAGTACTGCCAAAAATAAGATTCAGGCACCAGCAGAAAACGATTTTCTTACTGGGGACATAACTAGAGATAATTCCAGTAACATTTCTAGAAAGGGGTACATCAGATTAAAAAAAAAAAAGGGTGTATGTGTGGAGGGAGGGGATGACTGCTTCTTTCAGTGCAGGACCTCTAAAGATAGTTCATAAGATGATGTGAAAAAATACATGGACAGATACTACTTTACTGGATTTTTTTTTAATGTAAGAAAAAGTATAACTAGCACAAATATGACTATATTGTTTTTCATTAAAAAGTCTTTTTAGGTAGTTTTCAACCTCTCTGAGGTGACCCATTTTCACCTCTACAAATGTCTTTTCTAGTCTAATAAAATACTTTTTACTAAAACAAAACAGACAAAAAAAACAAAAACACCTTTGTAATTAGGCTTAAACTTTTTAACAGCAACATGGATTTTAGTGGTGGTGCACACCTATGATCCCAGCCCTTGGGAGGCTGAGACAGGAGGATCGAGAGTTTAAGGCCAGCCTGGGCTACATAGCAAGACCCTGTCTCAAAAAAAAAAAAAAAAAATCTTTTTAGCACTATGGTTAAGAACGGCAGGTTTTACACACTTGTTTGTCTCCATTTCCTCTGGAAAACCACACTATATTAATGATAAAGGGACCTTTTTTTTTTCTTTTGGCAGTTCTGGGGTTTGAAGTCACAGGCCTCCTGTTTGGAAGGCAGGCACTCTACCTCTTGAGTCACTCCATCAGCCCTTTCTCTGTTGGGTATTTTCAAAATAAGGTCTTGAGAACTTTTCCTGGGCTGGCTTTGAACTTATCTTGCCTCCTGAGTTGCTAGGATTACAGGCATGAGCCACGAGGACCTACCAAGGGACTTTTCTAAAGAGCCATAGCACAAGAACCAAGGATCAGAGATGACAGTTACACAGTTTTGTCTTTTTTCTTTTATTATGTCTTTTGGTGAACAGAGGTTGATTTATAATATCCAGATTTATCTTTTTCATTTATAATTAGTGCTCTGTATCTTTAGAAATCTCTTATAACCCAAAGTTAAAAGGTTACTCCCTTATGTTATAAAGTTTTTTATAAGCTATGTTTTAGACTTTTTATTTTGCTTTTTAGGTATCCACCTGTAATTTATCTTTATATATGATAGGAGTCAGGAAAACAATTTTATTTATTTGGAAAAATGTATTGATGAGTTTTTTGTTTTTTTTTTTTTCCTCAATACTGGGAATTGAGCTCTATCACTTGAGCCACACTCCAGGCCTTGACAATGTTTATAAATACACACACCTGTACTGGGTCTTTCATTAATCTGCTTATCTACTTTGTGCCTATATCACACTTTAAAATCTGTAGTTGTCTTTAGCAGAGCCAGTCTTCCTACTTTCTTGTTCTCTAGCTCCCCTAGAATATAAGAATACAATTGATTTTTCCAGTCAGCTTTTTAAAGTTCACCATTAAATAAAAATGAAACCAAAGTTCACCAAATATATAAGGAAAGCCTCTAACATGAGCAGTGGAGACTTACACAGACAAAAGAAGCAACCTGGAAGAAACAGACCACAGAGAAATGAAAACCTAGTAAGAGCACAAGTCTTTATGGTCCTTCCTTAGTAATGTGGGGTGATATGTTATGTTCTTAAAACTAGAACAGTGTGGACTAGGATGTAGCTCGGTGGTAGAACGCTTGCCTAGCATGCACAAGGCCCTGGGTTTGATCCCAGCACTAAAAAAATAAAATAGTGCCAGGCACCAGTGGCTCATGCCTGTAATCCTGGCTACTCATGAGGCAGAGGTCAGGAGGATCATGGTTAGAAGTCAGCTGGTCAAATATTTTTCGAGACCCTATCTCAAAAAAAAAAAAAATCACAAAAAAGGGTTAGTGGGGTGGCTCAAGGTATAGGCCTTGAGTTCAAACTCCAGTGCCACAAAAAAAAAAAAAAAAACAACCAAAAACCATGAGCAGAAGCCAGATATGGTGGTGCACACCTGTAATCCTAGCACTTGGAATGCTAAGGCCTGGGGATGGGGTGGAGGGTGAATTTGAAGCCAGTCTGGGGCTACGTAATGCATTCCAGGCCAGCCCAAGCCACATAGTAAGACCCACTCTTCAAAAAAGAAAAATAGAAATGGAGAAACAATAAGTAAAAAGATTCTGAAGACAAACTTGAACTCTCCAAAGAAAAACGGTGTACTCATGAATGAAATAAGTCAAGAAAATACCCCCATTACGAAAGAATATTACTTTCTAACCTGCGAGGGCCCACCACAGGCTAGAGACAGATATGAAAATAAACTTATTCTAAGGTACATAGTGAAATTTTAGAACACTAGCGATAAAAGAGAATTTTAAAAATTAGATCACGTGCAGAGGATCAGAAATCAGAACATAAACTTCGCAGCAGCATGAATAGTGACCAGTGCCTATAGTCCTAGCTATGCAGGAGTCTAAGGCATGAGGATCACTTTAGACCAGCAGGGGCGGGGTGACAGTGGAGTGACTCAAGCTACTCCTGCCTAGCAAGTGTGAGCCTCTGAGTTCAAACTTCAGTGCCACCAAAAAGACAGCTTGGGCAACAGTGAGACCTAGTCTCAAAGACAAAATAACAAGATCAGCAAAGTATAGCTCCAATATTGAATTTCAACTGAAATCAGTACGTTGAAGTCAAATTCTGCATGAACTCATAATAGATGGAATCTAAAAAATTTGAGGGCTGGAGGCATGGCTCAAGTGGTAGAGCACCTGCCTAGCAAGCACAAAGCCCTAAGTTCAAACCCCAGTACCACTGCCAAAAAAAAAAAAAAAGAACTCAGAGAGTAGAAGCCAGGTGGTTTTATATGCCTGTAATCCCAGCTACTCAGGAGGCTGATGCAAGAGAGTTGCAAATTCAAAGCCAACCCTGGGCCAAAGTAGCAAGGCCCCATTTCAAAAACAAAAGGACTGGGACATAGCTCAAGTAGAGTGCTGGCCTAGCAAGTGCAAAGCCCTCCTTGCACATTTATTTTGGCTCCTAATGCTATATTAGGCATCCTCAGTACTGAAAAAAAGAGTAGAATGGTGATTACCAGAGATGGGGGAGAAATTGGGGGGTGTTGGGGAATTATTGGTCAAAGGACACAAAATTTCAGTTAGGAGAAATAAATTTCAGAGATCTTTTGCAACATTGTGACTATACGCCTGTAATCCTAGCAATTTGGGAGGCAGAGATCAGGAAGATTATGGTTTGAGGCCAGCCCTGACAAACAGTTCTATACTCTGTCTCAAAAATAAATACCCAACACAAAAAAGCTTGGTGAAGTGGCTCAAGTGGTAGATCCTCTGCCTAGCAAGCATGAGACCTTGAGTACAAGCCCCAGTGCTGCCAAAAAAATTAAATTGCTAAGAAAGTAGATTTTACATGTTCTCACCATAGAAAATAAGTATGTAAGGCAGTTCATTATTATTTCAGTTAAAAATAAACTTTTATTGGGTGTGGTGGCTCACACCCATAATTTTTTTAATTACTGCAGAGGCAGAGATGGGAAAAATGGATGTTCAAGGCCAGCCCAGACAATAAGTTCACAATATCCCATCTCAGACAATGGCTGGGCATGGTGATGTGTGCCTGTTATTCTAACTATAGGATCATAGGCCAGGCTAGCCTGGGCATAAAGTGAAACCTTATCTCAAAAATAACCAAAGCAAAACCAGATTGGCAGAGAGGTTCAAGTACTAGAGTGCCTGCCTAGCAAGCACAAGACCCTGAGTTTAATCCTCAGTAATGCAAAAAAAAATCAACTAAAAGATACTCTGTCCTCTTAAGGAGTATGTAAAACTAGAAATACAGCAAGCACTATTAGATTTATACATAGCATTTGACACATTTACCTTACTTTGTTTGTTTGGTTGTTTGCACACTGGGGTTTGAACTCAGGGCCTCACATGTGCATGTCAGGCGCTCTTACCACTTGAGCACTCTGCCAGCCCCTGCATTTGCTACATTTAAACATTAGGTGCTGACAGAGTGACTCAAGTGATAGAGCACCTGCCTAGCAAGTGTGAGGCCCTGAGTTCAAACCCAAGTATTGCCAAAAATAAATAAACTTTAGCCTAGCAACTCTGAGGCCCCAGTACTGCAAATAAATAACTACAAATGTTAGCAGGGGTGGTGGTGCATGCCTGCAATCTCAGCACTCAGGAGGTTGAAGCAAGAGGATTAAGAGTTTGAAGTCAGCCTAGGCTACATAGTGAGACACTATCTCAAGGACAAACAAACAAAAATAAAAAATAATAATACAGAAAAATAAGTAAAAATTAAGAGCCAAGCATGGTGGTACATGCCTGAGGCAGAGGGATCACTTGAGCCCAGGAGTTCAAGGTCAACCTGGGCAACAGAGTGAGACACTTTCTCAAAAACAAAAAACAAAACAAACACAAAAAAATTAATGGGCACAGGTGGCTCACACCTGTAATCCTACCTACTCAAGAAGCAGAGATCAGGAGGGTTGAGGTTCGAGGTCAGCCTGGGCAAATAATTCATGAGACTGTATTTGAAAAAACCCATCACAAAAAAGGGCTGGTAGAGTGGTTCAAGTGGTAGAGTGCCTGCTTTGTTAAGTGCAAAGCCTTAAAACTTAAAAGGAAAGCAAAGGTCAAATGACAATGGCATGATCCTTTCAAAAATCAGCCTAGAATTGTATACCCAGTTAAGCTATCAGTTAAATGGGCAGTGTATTTTTATACATGGAAGGTCTCAGTTATTTGTCTTTCATACCTATTCTTAGGGAACTTCTAGAGGGAGAAAGGACAGCCCTATTCAGGGATTTCTTTTCATTAGAAAATAGGAAATCCAGCTC